CTCGTTTCGCCACGCTTCGCGATCCGCTCGCATTTCCTCCTGAAAGGCTGCGATGCGCGCGAAGAGCTGCTGGGTAACCTCGGCGTTGTCGAAGGTTGCCATCCTGTTCAAAACACGCACGGAGGGGGTAATTCAAAAATCGCGGAGCTGGTGCTTACCAGAATCGGCATCGAATTGGTCGCCCCTAGCGGTTTTTTCGAGGCAGGTTTTCCCGCTGCTGCTGCTTTGTTGAGCGCGGCCGAGTGAGAAAAGCTCTGATTACCAAGTGTCACAGGATCGAATGTGTCGAGGAAAGATTGTACTATCGATCAGTACAAGGCGCTTTTATACTTCCAGAGTACATCAGGTAACCAGGTTTATCTTATCCTAGGAGAATAGACCCTTCTAGAAGATAGAATCACTCTGCGTATAGCCACGCAAGGCTATTGGCTTTAAGGGATTACAGCAGGATCACGCTAGATAGAGCGCACCAGTACATCCCAAGCCTGGTCGGTGATATAATTATAATACCAGGATAAACCAAAGGTTAAGGAAAAAGGGAGAATAGGAAACCAAATGAGATGGAATAAAAGAGAAATGAAAAAGGAAGGAAATAAGAAGAGGCCAAGTGGTGTAACGGGGTCGTGGGTTAAGCTTCTATATAGATGGACCAAGTCAAGGGGAGCAGACAAGAGATGCATCAAATCAATGGGAGCGGACATGAAAAGGAGGAAAGGGCATCTGCAAGTTCTGCAAATAGGCAGGTCATTATATTGAAGAGTGTCAAAACTGAAGAACTGGAAACGGGAGAAGTCGGGTGGAGCCGCCCCTGTCAAGACTATCTTGTCGCCTTCAGCTTCTTCAACTTACCTCCACCTCTTCGTCCTCGTTCAGAAACTCCAGAACCAGCAGTTGTTAACAAAGAAGAACCAGAGCAGCCGAACAGTTTTCCTTGACGGTTGAACGTGCAGTCGTATGCCCACATCGCCAAGCGTGCGTATTTGGAGCTTGTTAACACTTAGTTTCTTGACAGCTGTTGCGGTCACCACAAGGCACCTTCAAGTCGCTATCTCCTCAACCGGCGAGACCTGCGAGAAGGAGAGAAATACAACATCACGGTTGCCAACAATCAAGTCATTGAAGCAACACGAATTGGAGACGTGATACTAGAGTCCGACGACACCAAAGTCTCACTTCACCTTAATAAGTTTCTCGTTGCCACAGGACTCGGCTTCAACTTGCTATCACAAGCGCAGTTGATGGAAAGCGGCATCTGTTTCGTCAGCACCGCCAACACAATGCTCACGGAGTTATACCTGGGAGACAAGAAGGAAGACAAAAGCAATTTAGTCGGAGTCACATAAATTAAATATGGTGTTTCAGTTCTACGTTTCTCACCTGTTAAAGCATCTGGCGACAGTGAGAAGAACGTCTCACTAGCTCCTTGGCATCATCACTGGGACACGGACTTCCAATGCCAAGACCATCGTGGTCTAAATATCTTTTGCGTCACGCCTCAACCTTCTCGCTCCAACTCCATCGACGAATCTGCAGCAGAAATAACAAAAGTAGCAGCATCAGCAGCAGCTGAAACCGGCTAAGCCACATGGCCATCTGGAGATGGCAACTGGGGTTACGCTAGTAAAGAACCAACATCCGTTACAGTCGAAGAACCTATGGAAGTTGATCGTACATGGGGCAAGAAAGAGTTAATCGTACCTGATGCTTGGGTGCATCGTAGACATCTCGGCATACCTTGGGCTGAAACTACAGAAGAAGCCGGATTCATCCAGCCTTTTGGCAATGGGCGTTAACCCTGCGCCAACAACTCATCTTTCGCCAACCTTCTTCCTCCAATCCGACTTGTACCTATGTTCAAAGGGACACAGGACTACAGCAAAAATATGGCACAAGTGGTTAGGTCATCCCTCGCAGGAAAGCTCTCAACAACCCGATTAAAGCCTTGGCTTTCGACAAGGACGCTCTCCTTTTAACCTACGGCCAAGAGCTTTGACCCAACAGACGCCAACTACCCTGCACTATCTTCCCTGAAGCTCATCTGATTCATGCTCCGTTCCGGTCACACTTTTTGAGTGCTGCTAAGTACTCACCTATGGATGTCGTTTTCAACAACATACTGTACTCGTCATGCCGCAAGATGCAGAGGATATCAGCGGCAACGAGTACCGCTATATAATCACCTTCATCAACAGTGCTACTCGATACGTCTGGCATAAGAATACCTCTCACAAGTCTTAAGCTCTTGACGCCTTCAAGCTATGGCTAAAAAATTGCGGAGCGGCAGAGCGGCATCAAGCTGAAAGAGATCCAGACAGACAACGCAGGCGAGTACACTAGTGAGCAGTTCGATGAATTCCTGGCGCGGAAACGAATACTCAGGCGCAAGACCATGCCTTACGCCCACCAACAGAATGGATTAGCTGAGAGAACGAACAGAACGGTGCAAGAGAAGATGCGCGTACTGCTGCAACAGTCCAGCTTGACAGCAGACTTTTGGTTGTTTGCAATGGCGCAAGCTTTCAGACTACACAACTGGTTGTCTTCAACAGATCTCCCTTATTTCAGCTCGCCACACGTCATGTGGACAAAACACCCCGCCGACACTCGAGTTTTACGAGTTTGGGTCTGCATGGTCCAATATAGACCTCCTAACGCAACTGTGGGCAAATTTACTGAGCGGGCTTGATGGAGAATACACCTTGGTGTTCCCAAGGATTCCTATTCCTAGATAATTATGGATTACGAAACCCGAAAGGTTTTGTATGCCCGAGACTGCATCTTCTACGAGAAACTCTTTCTCGATGACTTCGAACGCAACAAGGAACGCTAGCTGCGGGATCCTGGTCGCTATAGTACCGAACAGAGTTCCGCCACCCCTCAAGACAAAGCAGATGCAGCTGAAGAATATTATCCGCCTGACAGCGCAGCAGCAGGACCTTCTACAGTTCCGCAACCGTCTATGTCACCACATGAACCACTATTTGATTCATATATTCATTTGATACATGCTAACAATACAGTCACTCCACTACTCGTTCCCCTCTCGGATCCGTTACATCCTTCTACAACGCAGGCTGCCTATAATTATGAGGAGCACCTGAGCCAACAGAAAACTGACGCAGCATCACATGACGGTGCCAGCCATCTGCCATCTGAAATTGATGACGATGATGTTGCCGAAGTTTCCCAACCTCATCCTCTTCAAATTCTTGGCCTTGCTGTCGCAGTTCATCAACCAACGGTCGAGATCGAGCCGAAAACAGTCAAGCAGGCCCTCTCCAGCTCTAATGCTGACAAATGGCGAGCAGCTATGGATGCAGAGGTAGCAGCTCTTTAGAAGTAGAAAACGTGGAAATTTGTTCCATGCGAAGCAGCACGCTGCAAGAAAATTCTTCCGGGCAAGTGAGTCTTTTGCATAAAGACAAATGCAGCGGGCAAACCATACGGATTCAATGGGAGATCGGTCCTTCGAGGTTTCGAACAAACCCATGGCTTCGATTACGACTCGACTTTTGTTTCGGTCAACAGCCATGCCTCAGTTCAAATTCTTCTCACTATTACTGCCAGCCGTCATCAACCACTTCGCCAACTGGGCATTAAAAATGTGTTTTTATACGCAGACGTCGATGCAGACGGCGATGGACTCCACATCTGCAAGTTACTTAAATCACTCTACGGTATCAAACGTGCTCCTTGCCTGTGGCCGCAGCATCTTCACAAAGTTCTTATTTCACTCGACTTCGTGCAGCTGCCCCACGATCCTAGAATGTACAGACTCGAATTTCGTGGATATTATATTCTTCTAGTCGCCTACTTGGACGACTTACTGTACACCGGCCCATGCAACACTCTTCTGGCGCACATGGAGGAAAGAATCCAAACGATTCTTGATGTTAGTATTTCCCCCAACGTCACCCAGTTCCTTGGGTTAAACGTTGACTGCGGCCCCGATGCCATCTACCTTTCTGCAAACAAGTACGCAGAAACACTTGCGAAAAAGTTTGCCATCGCTCCCATTGGCCTAACCACTTCGTTTCGTCATATTCCGGCCAACCATACACCTGATACTACCCCACTTACCGCCTCCGAGCATCAGCTTTACCAGCAGCAGCTCGGGTGTCTTCTATTTGCAGCCATTACAAGCTGCCAGTATCTTGCCTACATTACGAGTCAACTCGCACAGTACTTGCGCCGACCTGAAGGAGAGAATATAGCCGATCTTCGTCGAGCTCTGCAATATTTCAATTCTACAATCGGTCCCAGCTACACGACAAATATTGCAGCAATTTTTTCTTGACTTGATACATTGACGCAGATCATGCTGCTGACCCCGACAACAGGCGTTCACGCACAGAGTTCATTTTCAAACTTGAACCGGTTGGTGTCATTTCTTGGAACTCAACGAAACAGGAGGTCATCGCACTTTCGTCAGCCGAAGCAGAATTCGTCGCAGCAGGTTTTGCAGTTCGCGAAGGACTATCTTCAAGAGTTACTGCAAGAGGCGAAAATCGCAACGACTCGTAACTTCATGTTACTCTGTGACAACCAGAGCGCAATCAAGATTGCAAACAAGCTCGGCTTGTTAAGTCTTCCACTGACTTTCAACTCGTGGTTCCAATAACTCTAAATCCTGGCCACGCTAAACAAGTGGTTCATTTCAACATAAATCACCATCATTTTTTGCATGAGAATTCTATAGTAGACCGACAAAGTAATTTAAAGCACAACATAATGTTGAACATATAATGTTGATATTGTGACAGCATAATGTCTTATCTGATCCGAAGCTTTTACCAACGCGTACGGGAGCGTGCCTAGGGATTGCCTGAAGACCCCGAAGTCGCAGCAGGTTCTGCATTTCTGCAAGCGAATTTGAGCCGTTCAGATCAGATGTGTCAGACTTCTACCCCGAGAGATCCGCGACGTCGCTGGACGTCATTGCTGGGCTGTCAACTTCATCATTGCTGACAGCTCGCACTGATTGGGAACTCATATGGTGCACACTGGTCGGACATCAACTCCGAGGGAGACTAGTTTTCCGTCTTCTCCAACTCGCACTAGTCTTTCGTCAACTCCTAGGAACTCGTTTGCCATGGCGACACTAGTCTGCAGTCACGTCTTCCGTCAACTCCAACTGTCTCGGAACCGCGACGCGGACCAGCATCGACTAGCATTGATTAGCAGGGTTGTGCTCTACACATCTCAATGTCGACAAGGATCGAATAGCATGGTGGATGGCTGCCATTACCGCGAAGGAACCTCCAAGCGGCGTGCAGCGCGCTAGCGTAGTGAAATCAAATCCATATCTTCGGCCGCTTGTCGCATAAACAACTCCACGTGTCACATGTCCGCGTCGTCAAATTCAAGGAAAACGTTCGCCTCGAGCACCCTCGGCGTGTGCGACGAATCGCTCGCGTCAGCTGCTTCCGCAAGGCCGCTCACTCCAGCAGTGTCGCTCCGTCCGTCTCGGGGCAAAGTCCCTCTCCTTCCAGCGACATCGCCGTCCTCCTCGGAGACTCGGAGTCCCGAAACCCGAGACTCGGAGTCCCTAAACCCGGAGTCCGGAAACGTCTCTCCCCCGCCATTGTCTCCCCTGCCATCTCGTTACCTCCAACAATCATGTCTCTCGCGGTGATTCCGCCTGCCACCCTGCCCACCAACTCGTTGGACCACTTTCGTAATGATGCTCAAAACCGACATGGACGAAGCCGACTCGGACGAAGCCACCTCGGACCATGCTAAAGCCGACTCGACTTGGGCGACGCACGTGCAGCCGGCGCGATGCTCCATGGACCAGGGGATCCGCGAACGGCGTGCGAAGATCCACGCGACCATTCGTTCAGTGAACCACGAGCACCATGTCATTCCGTGGAATCTGGTTCCTCCCTGCCACCTCCCTCCCTGCCACCTCGCTCCCTGCCACCTCCCTCCCTGCCACCTCCCTCCCTGCCACCTCCCTCCCTGCCACCTCGCTCCCTGCCACCTCGCTCCCTGCCATCTCGCACCTCCCTGCGAATGCGCTCCTCCCTGCGACCTCGCTCCGAGCGACCTCCTGCCGTGGCACCAGGCGTTCGTGCGCCACAGTCGTCAGCAGGAGGCGGGGCTGGCGCGCTTTCCGTGTGCCTGCATTGTTCGCTTGGCTCAAGCTCCGTGGCTTGCTCTCCCGGGGTCATATCCCCTCAGAGGAAAGCAGCTGGTGCCGCTTGGAGCTATCCCACTCTGTAGTTGCTTCTGTGTCGCTGCCGGGACCAGGCAGTGTGCCTACCAGTGGTGATTTGAAACCTTGAACCCTGATATTGAAGCCGCTTCCTCCGGTGTTCCATCTCCTAGCGCTGCAGCACATGGTTCCAGCAGCACTGACTCACGTCCTCTCATCTGGACGTCAGCTTAGTGCTGTCAGTTGCGCTGTCGCTTGCACTGTCTGGCACCGCTAACAACGCCAAGCAGGGCTCTGCTGATATTGGCGCTAACGTGCGCCTGTATCTGCTGACATTGCTGCTAACGTGCGCCTGTATCTGCTGATCACCCTGCCTGGGCGGCGTTGGCTGAAGCGTGAGTCCGTTCCTGCTGTGAAAGTGAAACGCGTTCTTCTAGTCCAAGCAGGGTGAAAGAGTATTCTGCGTGCCATGGCAATGGGCCTATTCGGCCTAAACGGGTTGAGTATAAGCTGCCTCTAGTAGGCGGGTACTGCACGCAGCAGCCAAGGGCCTTCAATCGCGTTCACAGAAATTCCCCCTCGATGGAAATGATCAAGGAAGACGTGAGAAGCCTTAGAAAGCGCTTTAAGGTCGCCATGGGGAATGTTACAACGTGTGTCGGGGCGAACCTGGCTTCTGCTTGTGGACCCCCTTGTCTGACGATGCTGCTGCTGCATCTGCTGCTGCTCCTCCTCCCCCTGTGCCCGCTTACACGAGGTATGGATGATGGAGTGTTCTAATCTAGATTGATAGGAATTTAGTAGTTGTTGGCGCTTCGAAATCCACATCAACCCAAATTTCTTACCCTCCCCGCTTGTGGCCGTTTTTTTTGCTGTGCAGCTCAGCCGTCTCCTTTCCCCTTCTTCTCCCCTTCCTCCTCCTCGTCCCCCTCCTCCACTTCCTCCTCTGCTGCTCCCAATCTCGCTTCAACACCCCCCTCCATCCTCCCTCCTCTAGCTCCCTCCACGCCATCATCACCGCTTCCAGCCTCGTCAGCAGCTGCAGCATCTCAACTGCCCCAGTCATATCCAGCCACGTCAGCAGCACAGCCATTACAACTACAGCCTGCTATTGTCCGTACAGATCCCATCCTCTTCCCTCCGCCTCCCCCACCTTTCCCCCTCACCTTCTCCCTGCCCTTCCAGTTTTCTTCCAGTGACTCCCCACCCTCTTCCACGCCCTCCCCTCCCTCACCTTCCTCTCCCTCCCTCACTCTCTCCCTCACTCCCTCGCTCCCTCTCACTCCATTCCTCTCAACTGCACCCTCACCACCTGCCACTGCTTCATCCCCTTTCACACCTCCAGCGGTTGCTCAAAGCAGTAGAGAGCCCCTCCCCTCCCTCTCTCCCTCCTCTCTCCGCACTCCTCCCCCCTCACTTCCTATCCCTGCTCCCCGCCCCTCCTCACCCTCCACTCGCCCCTCCTCTCCCCGGGCACGGCCCACCTCGCCCTCCTCTCGCCCCTCCGCTAACGCCTCCTCCCCCCCGCCTCTCTCCCAACGCTGCCTGTTCGCGGGCCAGCAGCAGCCCTGTGTGTGCCTCACACAGCCAGGCTTGTCCGACCCAGCACCACAGCAGAACCAGTCCAACACCTCTTCTGCTGCTGCTGCTCCTGCTGCCCCTGCTGCTGCTGCTGCTGCTGCTGCTCCTGCTGCCAGCACAAGTGTCCCTCGTCGCGCTCCTGTTGCTGCTGTCGTCCGCTTGTCTCTCGCTGCCCCTGTTGCCATCCCAGGGCTGCAAGTGTGCCTCGTGACAGGCTTCTTTGGCCCGTGCACGTGCATTCCTGGTAGGTTGGCTTCTTTGTGAGTCCCCCTAACATTCAGTGCACAATCTACTTGGCCATTTGTGTATCAAAGCTCTTCAAGCGTGCCTCGTGACAGGCTACTTCTGCCTGTGCACGTTCACTCCTGGTGGGTTGGCCCTTGAGTGATTGTGCCCTTACACCCACTGCTTATGCTCCTGGGCATTGGTGTTTTAAAGGTCTTCAAGTATGGCTCCTGATAGGCTACTTCTGCCCGTGAACGTACACTCCTGGTCGGTTGGCCCTTGACTGGTAGGTTGGCCCTTGACTGGTAGGTTGGCCCTTGACTGGTAGGTTGGCCCTTGACTGGTAGGTTGGCCCTTGACTGGTAGGTTGGCCCTTGACTGGTAGGTTGGCCCTTGACTGGTAGGTTGGCCCTTGACTGGTAGGTTGGCCCTTGACTGGTAGGTTGGCCCTTGACTGGTAGGTTGGCCCTTGACTCCAACCAACCAGGACTGCGCTACAGGAATATGACTCTGATATTCCGGCTCTGACCTTGGGGGGCTACAGAAGTGCACTCCAACCAGCCAGGACTTCTCTGTCTGATGTGCAACATGCCCAGACTCTCATGCACCACATACCAATCCTCTGTGATTTGCCTCATAAACCACCTCACTGATCCACCATTTGCCCTTCCTTCCTGTGTCTTCCTGCCCATGCCTTCCTGCCTGAGTGTCCTTGCTCCCGCCCATCCTCGGTCCTCCCTACGCAGATGACCCGAGCAGGCAGCCAGACCCAAGCCCTGGCGGTGCGCCGGAGCGGGTGGTGCGCCGCCAGATGTCAACAGCTCCATGACACCACCAGGCGCAGGCGTGGCTGGTGCAGCAGGCATCAGCTCCACCTCCCCCTCTGCCCTGGCTTCTCCCAACTCTTCCGCGTTTTGCCCTTCTTGCCTGTGCTTCCTTCCTCCCGCCCATCCCCTGTTCGCCGCATGCAGATGACCCGAGCAAGCAGCCAGACCCAAGCCCTGGTGGTGCGCCATCACCAGGAGCGGGTGGTGCGCCACCAGACCTCAACGGCTCCATGTCACCACCGGGCCCAGGCGTGGCTGGTCCAGTAGGCATCACCCCCACCTCCCCCTCTGCCCCCTCGTCTCCCAACTCCTCCGCCCCATCCTCCTCACCCTTCTCTCGTGGTCGTCCTATGCCGGCCCCACCTGCTCCTTCTCCTGCCCCGCTGGACAACTCCCCTGCTCTCGATGCCGGTACGAGCCTTTTTTTTTTTTTTTGTGAGGCGCCTCAACAAGCCCAACCTGCTCCTTCTTGTGCCCTGTTGGACAGCCCCCCTGCTCTCATTGCTGGTGCAAGCCATTGCCTGGGCTAGCAGCTGTTGCCTGTAATTTCCTAGCTTGACTTACCCTCGCCTCGCCTCACTTTGTTAAGGCAGGCAGGCAGGCAGGCAGCATGTTTTTGCCCATTTTACGAGGGATTTGTATAAAGCGCTGCTCCACTGCCTTGTGTGACACTACCTCCACCACACGTATGCACTCATGCTGAGCATGCGGGCGCTCATGCTGAGCATGTGTGTGCGTGTGTGTTTCACGTGATGTGTCCTGTGTGAGATTAACGCCAACCCATATGCGTTGACATGCAGCTAGTGCTGCATGCATGGCAGGCAGGCGTCTGACAGGGCAAGTGACCATGCGACTGTTACCAACTTTGTAACCAGAAAGCATTTCGTTTTCCTCCTTGTTCCCGTCCCTTTCTCTCGCTCTCCCACCCATGTCCTCCGTCCCTCGTATCTCCATTCATTCTCCTCCCCGCCCCCTTCCTCTCTCCAGCTCCACCCCTTCAGTCCATGAGCGTGCAGCAGCTGGCCATCACAGGGGCAGCATTGGGCGGCGTACTGGCTCTGGGGCCCTTCCTGCTGCTGCTCTTCGCTGCTGTGGGGTGCTGCGGAGACGTGTGTGGGGGGCTGTGTGTTGCGAGAGTTGCAGCTGATTCTCTATCTCTCCCTGTCTTTCTCCCCATGTTTCTCCCTTCTCTCCAGCTCCACCTCCTCAACCGATGAGCGTGCAGCAGCTGGCCATCACAGGGGCAGCAGTGGGCGGCGTACTGGCTCTGGGGCTCATCCTGCTGCTGCTGTTCGCTGCTGTGGGGTGCTGCGGAGACGTGTGTGGGGGGCTGTGTGTTGGGATGTGTGGGGGGCTGTCTGGGGCGAGGGAGAAAGGTGACGAGGAGAGCATGTGGGTGGGTGAGTGGGGAAAGCGAGGGGGGTATGAGAAGGTGGAGAGGGGCAAGGCTGCTCGACTGACCGTGGGTGGGAAGGGGCAGCAGGTGAGGGAGGAAAGAAGGAAGACGAGGAGAGGTGGGAGAGAGCGGCGAGGTGAAGTGGAAACGGAGAGGCACCATCACAGGGATAGGCCGTGGCACGTGAAGGGGGAGCAGGAGAAGAATGAGAAGAGGGTGGAGCAGGAGAAGCAACGGCAGCCAGAGGGGAGGGCAGAGGAGAGGAAAGGGCAGCAGCTGCATGCGCCAGCACCAGGACACAGGGCCCATCAACGACAGCAGCACCTGCACTCTCAGCAACTGACGCGGCAGGGGCGAGTGCAGAAACCGCAGCAGCAGCCGCAGCAGCAGCAGCAATGGCAGCAGCCTCAGCAGGGGCAGCAGCAGGAGGCGTGGCAGGTGGAGAGAGAAGCAAGTGGGACAAGTGGGAATGCACAGGTAGCAAGGGCACAAAATAGCCTCGCACTGCCAGTGGGACAGAAGCAGCAGCAGCAGCCGCAGCAGGAGGAGAGGCAAGAGCAGAGGAGGCGGAATGCGCTGGTAGGAGAGCAGCAGAAGCCTCTGGAGAACCAAGATGAGGCGCTTCTGAGTAGCGGCATGGGCCCAGCTATGGGGGTGGTTGAGCGCACGGGCGTGGCTTCAGCCGTGGTTTCAAGTGTGCCTGCAGTTTCTGGCATGGGCACTGGCGTGGGCACAACAGGTGCGGCAGCAGTTGTGCTGCCGTCCGTTGAGCAGCACATGGGATGGCTGGAAGCACGGGCCGACCAGCAGCAGCAGCAGCAGCAGCAGCAGCAACGGGCAGGCATCCAGGAGCCACAGGAGGCAGGGGTCCAGCAAGCGCATCAGCACAAGCAGCAGCAACGCCCATCGTTTACCCTGTCCTCACGTGCTGCCGAACAACAGGCAGCTATTTCACGTGGCATGGCCAAGCCAGGGGGAGAGGCCGACCCAAGGAGAGGAACTGGGCCAAGGGATGTGGGCGGCTCATCGTATGCTGACGCTGGGCAGATGAGGAAGAAGCAGCGAGGCATGGGGCAGACTGACCCAGGCGAGGATTCAGCTGTTACAGTTGCTGTGCTGCCCTCAGGGGAGACCGTGGACGTGGAGCGAGTTGTGATAGGGGGATTTCAGCAGGTATGGCGGTGATAGGGGGATTTCAGCAGGTATGGCGGTGATAGGGGGATTTCACCAGGTATGGCGGTGATAGGGGGATTTCACCAGGTATGGTGGTGATAGGGGGATTTCACCAGGTATGGTGGTGATAGGGGGATTTCAGCAGGTATGGCGGTGATAGGGGGATTTCACCAGGTATGGCGGTGATAGGGGGATTTCACCAGGTATGGCGGTGATAGGGGGATTTCAGCAGGTATGGCGGTGATAGGGGGATTTCACCAGGTATGGCGGTGATAGGGGGATTTCAGCAGGTATGGCGGTGATAGGGGGATTTCACCAGGTATGGCGGTGATAGGGGGATTTCAGCAGGTATGGCGGTGATAGGGGGATTTCAGCAGGTATGGTGGTGATAGGGGGATTTCAGCAGGTATGGTGGTGATAGGGGGATTTCAGCAGGTATGGTGGTGATAGGGGGATTTCACCAGGTATGGCGGTGATAGGGGGATTTCAGCAGGTATGGCGGTGATAGGGGGATTTCAGCAGGTATGGTGGTGATAGGGGGATTTCAGCAGGTATGGTGGTGATAGGGGGATTTCACCAGGTATGGCGGTGATAGGGGGATTTCACCAGGTATGGCGGTGATAGGGGGATTTCAGCAGGTATGGCGGTGATAGGGGGATTTCAGCAGGTATGGCGGTGATAGGGGGATTTCAGCAGGTATGGCGGTGATAGGGGGATTTCAGCAGGTATGGCGGTGATAGGGGGATTTCAGCAGGTATGGTGGTGATAGGGGGATTTCACCAGGTATGGCGGTGATAGGGGGATTTCACCAGGTATGGCGGTGATAGGGGGATTTCAGCAGGTATGGGGTGATAGGGGGATTTCAGCAGGTATGGCGGTGATAGGGGGATTTCACCAGGTATGGCGGTGATAGGGGGATTTCACCAGGTATGGCGGTGATAGGGGGATTTCAGCAGGTATGGCGGTGATAGGGGGATTTCAGCAGGTATGGGGTGATAGGGGGATTTCACCAGGTATGGCGGTGATAGGGGGATTTTCAGCAGGTATGGCGGTGATAGGGGGATTTCAGCAGGTATGGCGGTGATAGGGGGATTTCAGCAGGTATGGGGTGATAGGGGGATTTCAGCAGGTATGGCGGTGATAGGGGGATTTCAGCAGGTATGGCGGTGGGGATTCAGGTGCGGTGATAGGGGGATTTCAGCAGGTATGGCGGTGATAGGGGGATTTCAGCAGGTATGGCGGTGATAGGGGGATTTCACCAGGTATGGCGGTGATAGGGGGATTTCAGCAGGTATGGCGGTGATAGGGGGATTTCAGCAGGTATGGCGGTGATAGGGGGATTTCAGCAGGTATGGCGGTGATAGGGGGATTTCACCAGGTATGGCGGTGATAGGGGGATTTCAGCAGGTATGGCGGTGATAGGGGGATTTCACCAGGTATGGCGGTGATAGGGGGATTTCAGCAGGTATGGCGGTGATAGGGGGATTTCAGCAGGTATGGCGGTGATAGGGGGATTTCAGCAGGTATGGTGGTGATAGGGGGATTTCACAGGTATGGCGGTGATAGGGGGATTTCAGCAGGTATGGCGGTGATAGGGGGATTTCAGCAGGTATGGGGGATTTCACCAGGTATGGCGGTGATAGGGGGATTTCAGCAGGTATGGCGGTGATAGGGGGATTTCAGCAGGTATGGCGGTGATAGGGGGATTTCAGCAGGTATGGCGGTGATAGGGGGATTTCAGCAGGTATGGCGGTGATAGGGGGATTTCAGCAGGTATGGTGGTGATAGGGGGATTTCACCAGGTATGGCGGTGATAGGGGGATTTCAGCAGGTATGGCGGTGATAGGGGGATTTCAGCAGGTATGGCGGTGATAGGGGGATTTCACCAGGTATGGCGGTGATAGGGGGATTTCAGCAGGTATGGCGGTGATAGGGGGATTTCAGCAGGTATGGGGTGATAGGGGGATTTCAGCAGGTATGGCGGTGATAGGGGGATTTCAGCAGGTATGGTGGTGATAGGGGGATTTCACCAGGTATGGCGGTGATAGGGGGATTTCAGCAGGTATGGCGGTGATAGGGGGATTTCAGCAGGTATGGCGGTGATAGGGGGATTTCAGCAGGTATGGCGGTGATAGGGGGATTTCACCAGGTATGGCGGTGATAGGGGGATTTCAGCAGGTATGGCGGTGATAGGGGGATTTCAGCAGGTATGGCGGTGATAGGGGGGGGGGTGATAGGGGGATTTCACAGGTATGGCGGTGATAGGGGGATTTCAGCAGGTATGGCGGTGATAGGGGGATTTCAGCAGGTATGGCGGTGATAGGGGATTTCAGCAGGTATGGCGGTGATAGGGGGATTTCAGCAGGTATGGCGGTGATAGGGGGATTTCAGCAGGTATGGCGGTGATAGGGGGATTTCAGCAGGTATGGGGTGATAGGGGATTTCACAGGTATGGCGGTGATAGGGGGATTTCAGCAGGTATGGGGTGATAGGGGGATTTCAGCAGGTATGGCGGTGATAGGGGGATTTCAGCAGGTATGGCGGTGATAGGGGGATTTCAGCAGGTATGGCGGTGATAGGGGGATTTCAGCAGGTATGGCGGTGATAGGGGGATTTCAGCAGGTATGGTGGTGATAGGGGGATTTCACCAGGTATGGCGGTGATAGGGGGATTTCAGCAGGTATGGCGGTGATAGGGGGATTTCAGCAGGTATGGTGGTGATAGGGGGATTTCAGCAGGTATGGCGGTGATAGGGGGATTTCAGCAGGTATGGGGTGAAGGGGATTCAGCAGGTATGGCGGTGATAGGGGGATTTCAGCAGGTATGGCGGTGATAGGGGGATTTCAGCAGGTATGGGGTGATAGGGGGATTTCACCAGGTATGGCGGTGATAGGGGGATTTCAGCAGGTATGGCGTGATAGGGGGGATTTCAGCAGGTATGGCGGTGATAGGGGGATTTCAGCAGGTATGGTGGTGATAGGGGGATTTCACCAGGTATGGCGGTGATAGGGGATTTCAGCAGGTATGGCGGTGATAGGGGGATTTCAGCAGGTATGGTGGTGATAGGGGGATTTCACCAGGTATGGCGGTGATAGGGGGATTTCAGCAGGTATGGTGGTGATAGGGGGATTTCAGCAGGTATGGCGGTGATAGGGGGATTTCACCAGGTATGGCGGTGATAGGGTTCAGAGGTATGGGGTGATAGGGGGATTTCAGCAGGTATGGTGGTGATAGGGGGATTTCACCAGGTATGGCGGTGATAGGGGGATTTCAGCAGGTATGGCGGTGATAGGGGGATTTCAGCAGGTATGGCGGTGATAGGGGGATTTCAGCAGGTATGGCGGTGATAGGGGGATTTCAGCAGGTATGGCGGTGATAGGGGGATTTCACCAGGTATGGCGGTGATAGGGGGATTTCAGCAGGTATGGCGGTGATAGGGGGATTTCAGCAGGTATGGCGGTGATAGGGGGATTTCACCAGGTATGGCGGTGATAGGGGGATTTCAGCAGGTATGGCGGTGATAGGGGGATTTCAGCAGGTATGGTGGTGATAGGGGGATTTCAGCAGGTATGGCGGTGATAGGGGGATTTCAGCAGGTATGGCGGTGATAGGGGATTTCAGCAGGTATGGCGGTGATAGGGGGATTTCAGCAGGTATGGTGGTGATAGGGGGATTTCAGCAGGTATGGCGGTGATAGGGGGATTTCAGCAGGTATGGCGTGGTGATAGGGGGATTTCACCAGGTATGGCGGTGATAGGGGGATTTCAGCAGGTATGGCGGTGATAAGGGGGATTTCAGCAGGTATGGCGGTGATAGGGGGATTTCAGCAGGTATGGCGGTGATAGGGGGATTTCAGCAGGTATGGTGGTGATAGGGGGATTTCACCAGGTATGGCGGTGATAGGGGGATTTCAGCAGGTATGCGGTGATAGGGGGATTTCAGCAGGTATGGCGGTGATAGGGGGATTTCAGCAGGTATGGTGGTGATAGGGGGATTTCAGCAGGTATGGGGTGATAGGGGGATTTCAGCAGGTATGGCGGTGATAGGGGGATTTCAGCAGGTATGGCGGTGATAGGGGATTTCAGCAGGTATGGCGGTGATAGGGGGATTTCAGCAGGTATGGTGGTGATAGGGGGATTTCACCAGGTATGGCGGTGATAGGGGGATTTCAGCAGGTATGGCGGTGATAGGGGGATTTTCACCAGGTATGGCGGTGATAGGGGGATTTCAGCAGGTATGGCGGTGATAGGGGGATTTCAGCAGGTATGGCGGTGATAGGGGGATTTCAGCAGGTATGGTGGTGGCGGTGATAGGGGGATTTCAGCAGGTATGGCGGTGATAGGGGGATTTCAGCAGGTATGGCGGTGATAGGGGGATTTCAGCAGGTATGGGGTGATAGGGGGATTTCACCAGGTATGGCGGTGATAGGGGGATTTCAGCAGGTATGGCGGTGATAGGGGGATTTCAGCAGGTATGGTGGTGATAGGGGGATTTTCACCAGGTATGGCGTGATAGGGGGATTTCAGCAGGTATGGCGGTGATAGGGGGATTTCAGCAGGTATGGTGGTGATAGGGGGATTTCACCAGGTATGGCGGTGATAGGGGGATTTCAGCAGGTATGGCGGTGATAGGGGGATTTCAGCAGGTATGGTGGTGATAGGGGGATTTCAGCAGGTATGGCGGTGATAGGGGGATTTCAGCAGGTATGGTGGTGATAGGGGGATTTCACCAGGTATGGCGGTGATAGGGGGATTTCAGCAGGTATGGCGGTGATAGGGGATTTCAGCAGGTATGGTGGTGATTAGGGGGATTTCAGCAGGTATGGCGGTGATAGGGGGATTTCAGCAGGTATGGTGGTGATAGGGGGATTTCACCAGGTATGGCGGTGATAGGGGGATTTCAGCAGGTATGGCGGTGATAGGGGGATTTCAGCAGGTGGGGTGATAGGGGATTCACAGGTATGGCGGTGATAGGGGGATTTCACCAGGTATGGCGGTGATAGGGGGATTTCAGCAGGTATGGTGGTGATAGGGGATTTCACCAGGTATGGCGGTGATAGGGGGATTTCAGCAGGTATGGCGGTGATAGGGGGATTTCAGCAGGTATGGTGGTGATAGGGGGATTTCACCAGGATGCGAGGGGTTAGGTGCGGTGATAGGGGGATTTCAGCAGGTATGGCGGTGATAGGGGGATTTCAGCAGGTATGGTGTGATAGGGGGATTTCACCAGGTATGGCGGTGATAGGGGGATTTCAGCAGGTATGGCGGTGATAGGGGGATTTCAGCAGGTATGGTGGTGATAGGGGGATTTCAGCAGGTATGGCGGTGATAGGGGGATTTCAGCAGGTATGGCGGTGATAGGGGGATTTCAGCAGGTATGGCGGTGATAGGGGGATTTCAGCAGGTATGGCGGTGATAGGGGGATTTCAGCAGGTATGGGGTGATAGGGGGATTTCAGCAGGTATGGTGGTGATAGGGGGATTTCACCAGGTATGGCGGTGATAGGGGGATTTCACCAGGTATGGCGGTGATAGGGGGATTTCAGCAGGTATGGTGGTGATAGGGGGATTTCAGCAGGTATGGTGGTGATAGGGGGATTTCAGCAGGTATGGCGGTGATAGGGGGATTTCAGCAGGTATGGCGGTGATAGGGGGATTTCAGCAGGTATGGCGGTGATAGGGGGATTTCACCATGTATGGGCCGGGGTGATAGGGGGGATTTCACCAGGTATGGGGTGATAGGGGGATTTCACCAGGTATGGTGGTGATAGGGGGATTTCAGCAGGTATGGCGGTGATAGGGGGATTTCACCAGGTATGGCGGTGATAGGGGGATTTCACCAGGTATGGCGGTGATAGGGGGATTTCACCAGGTATGGTGGTGATAGGGGGATTTCACCAGGTATGGCGGTGATAGGGGGATTTCAGCAGGTATGGGGTGATAGGGGGATTTCACCAGGTATGGCGGTGATAGGGGGATTTCACCAGGTATGGCGGTGATAGGGGGATTTCAGCAGGTATGGCGGTGATAGGGGGATTTCAGCAGGTATGGCGGTGATAGGGGGATTTCAGCAGGTATGGTGGTGATAGGGGGATTTCACCAGGTATGGCGGTGATAGGGGGATTTCAGCAGGTATGGCGGTGATAGGGGGATTTCAGCAGGTATGGTGGTGATTGGGGGATTTCAGCAGGTATGGTGGTGATAGGGGGATTTCACCAGGTATGGCGGTGATAGGGGGATTTCAGCAGGTATGGCGGTGATAGGGGGATTTCACCAGGTATGGTGGTGATAGGGGGATTTCAGCAGGTATGGTGGTGATAGGGGGATTTCACCAGGTATGGCGGTGATTCGGGGGATTTCAGCAGGTATGGCGGTGATAGGGGGATTTCAGCAGGTATGGCGGTGATAGGGGGATTTCAGCAGGTATGGTGGTGATAGGGGATTTCACCAGGTATGGCGGTGATAGGGGGATTTCAGCAGGTATGGCGGTGATAGGGGGATTTCACCAGGTATGGCGGTGATAGGGGGATTTCACCAGGTATGGCGGTGATAGGGGGATTTCAGCAGGTATGGCGGTGATAGGGGGATTTCAGCAGGTATGGCGGTGATAGGGGGATTTCAGCAGGTATGGTGGTGATAGGGGGATTTCACCAGGTATGGCGGTGATAGGGGGATTTCAGCAGGTATGGCGGTGATAGGGGGATTTCAGCAGGTATGGTGGTGATAGGGGGATTTCAGCAGGTATGGTGGTGATAGGGGGATTTCACCAGGTATGGCGGTGATAGGGGGATTTCAGCAGGTATGGCGGTGATAGGGGGATTTCACCAGGTATGGTGGTGATAGGGGGATTTCAGCAGGTATGGTGGTGATAGGGGGATTTCACCAGGTATGGCGGTGATAGGGGGATTTCAGCAGGTATGGCGGTGATAGGGGGATTTCAGCAGGTATGGCGGTGATAGGGGGATTTCAGCAGGTATGGCGGTGATAGGGGGATTTCACCAGGTATGGCGGTGATAGGGGGATTTCAGCAGGTATGGTGGTGATAGGGGGATTTCACCAGGTATGGCGGTGATAGGGGGATTTCACCAGGTATGGCGGTGATAGGGGGATTTCAGCAGGTATGGTGGTGATAGGGGGATTTCAGCAGGTATGGTGGTGATAGGGGGATTTCAGCAGGTATGGCGGTGATAGGGGGATTTCAGCAGGTATGGCGGTGATAGGGGGATTTCAGCAGGTATGGTGGTGATAGGGGGATTTCAGCAGGTATGGCGGTGATAGGGGGATTTCACCAGGTATGGCGGTGATAGGGGGGATTTCACCAGGTATGGCGGTGATAGGGGGATTTCAGCAGGTATGGCGGTGATAGGGGGATTTCAGCAGGTATGGTGGTGATAGGGGGATTTCAGCAGGTATGGTGGTGATAGGGGGATTTCACCAGGTATGGCGGTGATAGGGGGATTTCAGCAGGTATGGCGGGGATAGGGGGATTTCACCAGGTATGGCGGTGATAGGGGGATTTCAGCAGGTATGGTGGTGATAGGGGGATTTCACCAGGTATGGCGGTGATAGGGGGATTTCAGCAGGTATGGGGGTGATAGGGGGATTTCAGCAGGTATGGTGGTGATAGGGGGATTTCACCAGGTATGGCGGTGATAGGGGGATTTCAGCAGGTATGGCGGTGATAGGGGGATTTCACCAGGTATGGCGGTGATAGGGGGATTTCAGCAGGTATGGCGGTGATAGGGGGATTTCAGCAGGTATGGCGGTGATAGGGGGATTTCACCAGGTATGGCAGTGATAGGGGGATTTCACCAGGCAGGGTGGTGAAGGGAGGGAGGGGAAGGGGGTACGGGCTGGCAGAGTGTCTCTTTTTCGTTTCGTCCTCTTCACCTTCTGTTTATCCGCAAACCACCATCACCCCTCCTGCGCGCCTCCCTCCCCCCACCTTCCCCTTATCCAGATCGCCCCTCCCCTTCTCTCCCACCACATGGGTCTCCTCTCCCGCCTCTCCCACCCTCACATCGTCGACACTCTTGGCTACAAGCTGCTGGGCGGCAACGTTTGCCTGGTAGCAACAGCCCGCATGTCGCAGGGGACTCTGCTCCAGTGGCTCAGACGTGCGTCTCTCAGGTGTTCCTTCAGGTGTTGCTTCAGGTGAATTTTCAGGTGTGTCTCTGGTGTCGCTCTAGGCTGTTCCACTCGTTTCCTCTTCCACGCCCCCTCTTTCCCGAATTGTTTCTTTCCCACCCCCGCCTACCTCCAGCCTCCTCCCCACCTCTCCTGGACTGGCCTGCAAGGGTGCAGGTAGTTCGCTCTGTGGCCCGGTCAGTCACGTTCGCCCACTCGTGACCAAATCGTCCAACTTTTTTCCACCTGCCTACCCATCCCTCTTCATCCCCCTCCTCCCCCAGCATCCTCCCCCCCTCTCCTGGACTGGCCTGCAAGGGTGCAGGTAGCTCGATCTGTGGCCCGAGCTCTCGCATTCGCCCACTCGTGCGATCCCCCGCTGCCACATGGTGCGCTCTCCTCGCGCCATGTGGCGTTTGGGGGTGACCTCAAACCGCGTGTCAGCGGCTTTGCTGCTGCAAGGCTGAGGAGGCTGGGAGGAAGGAGGTGAGAGTCTGGTGGAGGTTAGGCGGAACGTGAAAAAGGCCGGGCGGTAAGAGGAGGTGAAAGGGGCAGTGGGTTCTTGGTGCCAACGGCCTTGCTGCTGCCAGGCTGAGGAGGCTAATGGGGAGGGAGGAAAGAGAGGAAGCAGGAGGGTGGGAGGAAGGTGAGGGAGCAGGGGGGTGGGAGGAAGGTGAGGGAGCAGGGGGGTGGGAGGAAGGTGAGGGCGGAAGTGAGGATGCGATGATAGATAGGACAGAGTTGCTGTGGGTTTAAGAAAGTTTTTTTTTTTTTTTTTTTTTTTTTTGGAGATTCAATGCTGATCTTTAGAGAAGGTGTAGATGAAGGGCGGGGGTGTGCTTCCCATCAGCTGCCCCTCCTGCTCTCCTTTGTGCTCTTGTGATTGCATCCGCCATGCCACTGACATTCCATCCCCGATTCCATGTTCCATTCCACAGCATCATCTCATCGCTCAACCCTTGTGTTCTGCCTGGGGGTCCTCCACAAAGAGCATCTTCTGGCGCTGCCCAAGATGACGTGGCAGCTGATGTGGCAGTTGATGTGGCAGGGTGCATAGCAGCGGACATTCACAGCTTCGGGCTCATTCTCCTGCACCTCCTCACCGGCCGTGACTCATTCCTTTCGCCCACTGCCGCCTCTTCCTCCTCCCATCCCCCCTCCTCCCTCACTCCGCAAGTCCAGCATTTGCTCTTTCAGGTGAGTACGCACTCCATTTCAATGCAGCTTGTTGCCAGGTGCCTAAAGAACAGTTTTGAGGCGCCTCAAACCTAGATGCCGAAAGAGCAGCACCCTGCCTTGCCCCTCTCAGCACGAGGCCTGCTCCCTGCCATGCGCCTCTGTGCCTCTTGCTGTGCCTCCCTTGGTTCAAGGCGCCTCTTGATGTTGTGTTCAATGGCTTCATGTGTTGACGCCTCTTGATGTTGTGTTCAATGGCTTCATGTGTTGACACCTGTTGATGTTGTGCTCAATGGCTTCATGTGTCGACGCCTCTTGATGTTGTGTTCAATGGCTTCATGTGTTGACGCCTCTTGATGTTGTGTTCAATGGCTTCATGTGTTGACGCCTCTTGATGTTGTGTTCAATGGCTTCATGTGTTGACGCCTCTTGGGGCATCCCTGGCGTGCCTCAGTGTGTGTGTGTGCTGACATGTGCACGCGGCTGCTTGTGACTGCTCGTTTCCACATCGGTGCATCGGTTTTGCATGGGTTCTTGTGTGCAGCTTGGTTCCGCATGTGAGCGCATGGACCATGCACAGCTGCTGGCGTTAGCTGATCCCTGCCTCGCCATCAAACGCCTACCCACCACCATGTTGAGGTATGCCTCGTTACATATAGCATGCGGGGGCATCAATTCCCTCATGTATATGTCCCTTTGCGCACGCCTTCACTGTTCGTTTATCCCATGCTTTTGTTCACCCCGTGTGTTCAGTTCACTATTCTGTGTTCCTTTCCCTTGTCCTCGTTATGTGCAGCTTCGTGGAGTTGGCTGTCAACTGTGCATCTACGCTTGCTGAAATCTCCTCAATGAGGGAGGCCAGTCATCGCCTCAATGTCCTTGGCATCATGGCATTAGATTTTTAAAGCATGAAAGACTCAGTGTATTATTATAGGAAAATCAGTGAGGTTAAAATCTCATGGATTAAACAGATCAACAAGAAGGATTTGCCATCAAGCGGATGTGGTTTTCACATAAGCGCATTGTATCGGAACAAGTATTTTGTCTTCCCGGGCTAATAACCCAAGCGATTCGTACCATAACGGAGCGTAATCAGGATCTTCCCCATGCACCTTTTGTGAGCTGTAAGCTCGAGTCGTAGTGTGGGTCTTGAGACTGCAGCAGTCTGAGGCGAGGTGGTCACGGCACAAGGCAACTGGTCGTCGTGGTTGATCGGGCACGGTCACATCGGACGGTGGTCTAAGAGCGAGCGAGCGATCAAAACCGCAGCGCGTCTGAGGGAGAGAGGTAGAGGGTAAAGAAATACTGCTGGGACCGTGGTTCGTGATTTGTTAGTGTCCTCGAGAATTCTCGGCTGCTGATCCTCACTTACCCCTGATCCGCTCGTCATTAGGGTTGGATCTTCCTCGTCAGCTTGCATCGCGTAGCCAGGCAGGCGCTCACTAGTGTCGCTCGTAACGCGCACGGGATTGAGGCGCGTTCGATTCAGCATTTGAATTGACGGGATTGGGAGTTGATTCGGCGGGGAGAGATGGCTTTGGAGAGCGATCGAAGCAACAAGCGGCAGCGAGTTACCTCAGGCACGTTGGTCATGCGACAGACCTGCTGTGAGCGTGCGAAGGTTAACCATGCGACAGCATTGTTGTGCGACAGGCTTGTCGTGCGTGCACTTTGAGCGACATACATGTGCTTCCTGCCGATTCGCCCGTCAGTAGGATCCCGTAGCTTCATTGAAAGTGCCGCAAAAAGCCTGTGGCAAAGAGCCTGTGCCAAAGAGCCTGTGGCAAAGAGCCTTACTGTAGTAGGTTACTTACTACATGTGCCGCAAGGAGTCTGTGGCAAAGAGCCTAACTGTAGTAGGTACTTAATACATGTGCCGCAAAGAGCCTTACTGTGAATCCTCGCTCCCACCAAACATCCCGCCTGCGCTGATCCTCCTCTGCTCCCGTAGCGTTCTCTCCTCGTGTATCCTCCGTCTCCTCTGTCCCTTATTCCCGCTCCTCCGTTTTATTCCCTACTCGCTCCTCTCCTCTTCCCCCCCCCCGTCCTTCCCTACTCTCTCCTCACCTCTCCTCCTCTCTTCTCTCCTCTCCTCTTCCTTCCTCTCCTATCTCTCTTCTCCTCTCCTCCCCCTCTCCTTCCTTCCCCTATCCCCCATGCCAGAGAATCAAGGAGCCACCTTTCGCAAGGATGAGGCGGACTTCCAAGTGGGCTCATCCCCTTCCTCCTGTCCCTCATTTTCGCTCCTCCCCTCTGTTCCTACGCACTCCTTCCCTCTCCTCTCTTCTCCTCCCATCCCCTCCCCTCCTTCATCCACCGTGCCAGAGAATCGAGGAGCCACCTTTCGCAAGGATGAGGCGGACTTCGAAGTGGGCACCAGGTGAGAGGCAGTGGGTCGCCAGGTGAGAGGCAGTGGGTCGCCATCAGGTCTTGTGAGTAGCAGTCACTCCACTCCACGCTAGGGCCCGCCGTCATGCTACGCCTGCTGCTCAAGCTTTCTGTGGGGCTGGGGCTCGTATGGTTTCTCTCTCGAGTCTTGGGGTTGAGCTCTGTGCCGCAATCAATGCACTGCCTTGCCTGGTTCCTGTTTCTGGCTGCTCGTCCTTTCTGGTTCCTCCTCTACCTCACCCCTCACCCCTCACCCCTCCTCTTTGCCTTTCTTTCTCTTCCCCCTCCCTTTCCTCTCCCCCCCCCCCCTCCCCCCGCCCCCCGTCCGCCCCGCTCTTCCTCTGCGCTGCTGTGGTTGCGTGTCCCCGTTTCCCTTAACTCCGGCTCCTTTGTTCCGACACATGGCAGCTGGCGCGTGCTGGTGCTGCGGCTGGGGGAGCGGTGCATGGAGTTCGACGGCCGCATGGACCCCATCGACCAGATGGTGAGAGTCAGGGGAGTGTTGGGAAGGGCGTCAGGAGTGCGTTCAAGAGAAGGGCTGCTAGGTGTTGGGTGTTGGATTGCGCCAGACCTTGCCCTAGTGGGCCGTTGGGTGCTGGATTGCTGCAAATGTCGACCCGACCTGTCAAAAAGTTGGGTTCGGGTCGGGTTACCTGACCTGACCCGACCCGTTGCTCAAGCCTAGTTTCCTCGTTGAGGGTAACCACATTCTCACTTCCCTCCCTCCTCTCCCCTCTCCTCTGACCCGCCTTCACTCCCCCCCCTTGCCTAGCCACCAGGACCTATGTTTGACTGTCATCGGCCACAGCTGTGACGGTGGCCACATTTTCACGTCCCTCCCTTCTCTCCCCCCTATTCCTCACCCCACCGCGTCGCCTCACCACCAGGGACCTGTGCTTGACGGTTGTCAGCTGCATCTCCGGCGGCCATTTTCATCAGATTTGTCAAGCACAGGTCCCGGTTGGCACCAATCCTTGCCTTCCCCGTGCCCTCTCTCCCCCTGGCCCCACCACCAGGACCTGTGCTTGACGGTTGTCAGCCGCAACTTTGATGCGCTCAAGGGAGAGCTGCTGCCGGTGAGAGACGCATGAATGAGCCCCTGACGTTCATGCCATGCCATGCCATGCCATGCCATGCCATGCCATGCCGTGCCGTGCCGTGCCATGCCATGCTGTGCCGTGCCGTGCCATGCCATGCCATGCCATGCCATGCCCTGCCGTGCCATGCCATGCCATGCCATGCCGTGCCGTGCCATGCCATGCCGTGCCGTGCCGTGCCATGCCATGCCATGCCATGCCATGCCATGCCATGCCCTGCCGTGCCATGCCATGCCATGCCGTGCCGTGCCATGCCATGCCGTGCCGTGCCGTGCCATGCCATGCCATGCCACGCCATGCCATGCCATGCCATAACTCATACATGCATTCTCACATTCGTCAGTCACAACTTCAATGCCCTCAAGGGCGAGCTGCTGCCTGCCAGGGGTCGCATGCGTGTGATTTCATGCAAACATCACGCATCCATGTGTCGTCCACATGCCTCATTCATCAACCCCACGCCATTGCCTTGTGCTTCCCTTTGCTCTGCCGCCCCCTACTTTGCTCTGCTGCCCACTCACACCCTGCCCCGTGCCCCTACCCCCAAGCACCCACTCATCATGCCCCATGCCAACTTGCCCCATGCGCCATCTCCTATGCCCCCCTACCCCGTGCCCCTACCCCGTCCCCCTGCCCCGCGCCCCTGCCCCGTGCCCTTACCCTGTCCCCCTACCCCACGCCCCTACCCCGTGCCCCTACCCCGTGCCCCTGCCCCGTGCCCCTACCATGTGCCCCTCCCCCCTGCAGCTCCTAATGCAGTGTGCAGAGGACCTTCCCCAAAAAGCGCCCTTCTACACCACGCTGGTACCTCCTCCCCTTCCTTTCTAATCTCTTCTCTTCTCCTCTTCTCTCCTCTTCCCTCCTCTCCTCTCCTCTCCTCTCCTCTCGCCTCCTTTGTGCTTTGTGCCGCACGCACACACGACCGTTTGCTATCTTTCCAGAGTCCCCCTCTCCGCACCTCTCCCGCCCCACTCCCCCTCCCTCCTCCCTGCCCATTCCCGACCTGCCCTCCCCAATTTGTTCTTTCCCCGCTCTCGTTTCCCCCTCTCCCCCCCGCACTTAAGGTATCGCTCCTGAACGTGGACTACGAGGAGTTTGGGGCGTCAGTGGTGGAACACGTCATGGCAGGGCTGCAGGTGGGTTGTGTGCGGTGCTTTGCGGTGCATGTGCTCTCTGCTCTCTGGTCGATGCCTGAGTGTGAATCGCACACGACAGCAGCTGAGCAATGTGTGTGTCTCGTATGTCATGCCGGATGAGTCTATTTTTGAGGCGCCTCAAAAGCAACATGCTGTGTGTCTTGTATGTCATGCCGGATGAGCATGCTATATTCTAGGAGCATGGTAGTATATACACCCGCAATGTACGCCCACAATGTACACCCGCATTGTACACCCGCATTGTACACCCGCATTGTACACCCGCACCGCATTGTACACCGCAATATTCATTCCATTCTCTCTCGTTCTTACGTTCGCGCACCTTCCTTCTTCACTGCAGGGGTTTCTCCCAGCCGCCATTCATTCCCCTCTCGTGTCCCTTTCCCCCCTTCGTACACATTCTGCTGCGGCTGCTCGATTGGTGGTGGGTAAACGTCCCATTCGTGCAATCATCTTCCCCCCTTCCCTTATCTCCCCCTCCCCCTCTCCCTCCTCCCCTGCCCACAGGCCGCCTTTGAGACGGGCGAGTGCAACAAGATGCGCATTCTGCTGCGCCTGCTGGCCCTGTTGGTAAGACCTGCCCCTTCTGTGTCGCATGCCCGCATGAGCTGAGCAGTCTGGTTCCTTCCTTTCTCTTTTCCTTAGGTGATTTTTTAACCGACTCCTTTTGAACCAACTCCTTTTGAGTCGACTCCTTTTGAATTTACTCAAAAATCCATATGAAGTGGTCTGGTTCCTTCCTTTCTCTTTGCCTTATCTCGCTTCCCCGTGATGCTTTTTCCATCTCCCGTCCCTCCCCCCTCCCCTTCCCCACACTCCCCGCGGTTCTTCTTACTTCCAGCTCGTTTTTCGCGCCTTCAATGTCGCTACCCTCATTCGTTTCTTCCCTCTCTTCCCTCTCTTCCCTCTCTTCTCTTGCAGTCCGTGGCAGCATTGGCACAGGAGTCAACCGTGTTGCAAGTCTTTCCTCTCCCTATCTCCCCTCTCTGCCTTCCCTCTGTCAGCTCATCTTCTCCGTTTTCCCTCTCTCCCTCCCTTTCCCCACAGTCCGTGGCAGCAGTGGTGCCAGAGTCCGAGGTGTTGCAAGTTTTGTCTCTTCTGGTCGACACGGCCACTACCCACCTCGATCCGACAGCTGGCGGGAATTCCAGCTGGCAGCCGCGGGCGGACTTCTTTGTCTTTTGCGTGCTTGCGTGCCTACCGTTTGCTGCCCAGGACTGGCAGCAGGTATGTATGAGTGTGTGTGTGTGCGCGCGCGCGCGTGCATCTCTGTTGTTTGTTCATCTGCTTAACTGGCGTTTTGGTTTCCACCAGGGTCGTTACTACCACCAGGGTCGTTACCACCAGGGTCGTTACCACCAGGGTCGTTACCACCAAGTATGACCATGCCTCACTGCGTGCACCTCACCACACACATCACTTCATTTCCCCGCACCTCTGTGTGCTTTTTTGAATGGGCTCCACACGTCTATCTATCTATACGTCTAACCTCACTCACGAGGCGTTGAGTCTTTCCTCCCCTCTTCCTCCCCCCTGCCCCGGCTTCCCCAGTCGCACCTGGGCGAACTCTCCACCCTCCTCACCAGGCTGCGAGGCTGCATGGGTGCGCGCTCGTCCCTCGCCCCTCCTACCTAGTCTTCCTCTTCTGACCTCACCCTCACCCCGGCACGCTACCTCTCCCCGCGCCCTCCCCTCCCCAGTCGAACCCGGACGACCTCTCCACCCTGCTGGCCGCGGTGGAAAGCTACATGGCTGCACGCTCATCCCTCGTCTTCCCTGCTTTGACCGTCTTTGAGCCCCAGCCAACCGACACCACGCCGCCACAGGTCTGTGCTGCTGTTCAGGCTCGGTGTGCGTGGGTGTGGGGGGGGGGAGGTTGAGGGGGTGGGTGTATGTACGTGTGTGGGAGGGGGGGTGTGCATGTGTGTGTGTGTGTGTAGTGGGGGGGGTTGGTTTGTAGGGGTGCAGAGCTACATGGCTGCACGCTCGTTGTCCCTCATCTTCCCTGCATTGACCGCCTTTGAGCCCCAGCCAACCGACACCATGCCGCCACAAGTCTGTTCCTTCTTTTGATGAAACCAACCCCCCCACAACCTTTCCCCCTCCCGGCTTCCTGCGCGCGTCTCTCCCTCCATGTGCCCAGCTGCGTCTCTCCCTCCATGTGCCCAGCTGCGTCTCTCCCTCCATGTGCCCAGCTGCGTCTCTCCCTCCATGTGCCCAGCTGCGTCTCTCCCTCCATGTGCCCAGCTGCGTCTCTCCCTCCATGTGCCCAGCTGCGTCTCTCCCTCCATGTGCCCAGCTGCGTCTCTCCCTCCATGTGCCCAGCTGCGTCTCTCCCTCCATGTGCCCAGCTGCGTGACACATATGGCAGCTGGAGTGTGTGTGTTCCTCTGTGCATGCCTGCCTCTATTGCACGCCTCTGTGCTCTCTGTGTTCACCTGTGCGACATATCTCTCTCTCTCTGCTTCCCTCTCTGTCTGCCACAGGACTACTTGGAGGACCTATGGGATCGCATCAAGGCATGCAAGGAAGATTCCTGGAAGGCAGAAAGTGGTACGGTGGTGGACCCTTTCTTATTCCTGTATTATAAAAGCTCGCACACACACACCCACCCACACACACACACACACACACCCACACACACACCCAGCTGCTGTCGTCTGTGCCAACAAACTTTTGTGCAAATAACTTTTTGCCTCTCAGCCTTCACACCCTCTCTTCCTTGCTCCAATTCGTCACCTTTCTTTCCCCTTCTCATTGCCCGGCACGCTGCACCCTTCTCATTGCCTGGCACGCTGCACCCTTCTCCCTCCCCCTCCCCATCTCTCCCAACTGGTCCGCTCTGCATGCTTCCCCTCTTTAAGCCTGCAGAGTGCCTCGCCCCCTCGTGGCAGTCACGGATAAGCTTATCCGGCTCTTGGCCTCTTGGCACGAGAGCGGGTGGCAGTCGTGGCAGTCCTCTCATCAATCATGCGCCACCCCCTTGGCCTCTTCACCCCTCCTCCGTCTCTCCTCTCGCTCTCTCTCCCTTCCCTTCGCCGTCCCTCTAACTCTCAGTGCCTCGCCCCCACGTGGCAGTCAAGGACAGGCTATCCTCTTCCATGCGCCACCCCCTTGGTCTCTCTGCCCTCCTCCCCCCCTTGCTGCCGCCCTACTCCCCTACCGCCCCTCCCCCTTCCCCGCCTTCGCTCAGTGCCTCGCCCACACGTGGCAGTCAAGGACCCGCTATCCTCTTCCATGCTTTACCCACTCGGTCTCTGCTCTGCTACCCCCTGCTGCCACCATCCCTTTTCCATTCTCTCCCTTCCCCTCCCCTCCCCTCCCTTCCCCCCCTTCCCCTCCCTTCCCCACCTACAGTGCCTCGCCCCCACGTGGCAGTCAAGGACCGACTTTCGTCGTCCATGCGCCATCCCCTTGGTCTCTTCACTCCGCCTCCGCCACCCCCTGCTGCCACCCAACCTGACGTCGATGCTGACATGGACGAGGGCGGCGATGAGCAAAAGCAGACAAGAGCTGCCGCCCGGCAGCGGTTCGAGGCGCTGCAAGAGTTCCCGCCCCGGATTGGACGGCTGAAGCTGTTTCCACCTGCCAAGACAGATGCTGTGAGTTCTTCTCTGCCTTTCTCCTCCCGCCAATTCCTCTGTTCCGATTTTCCCCTTATTTCGTCTTCCTTCCTCTGCTCCCTCCCCGCCTTTCCCCGTTCGGCCATGGCGCCCATCGACCTCTTTGTCTTGGTGTTATCTTCCCTCTCTCCCTCCCCTCTCATGTCGCCCCTCTCTCTCCCTCCCCTCTCATGTCGCCCCTCTCTCTCCCTCCCCTCTCATGTCGCCCCTCTCTCTCCCTCCCCTCTCATGTCGCCCCTCTCTCTCCCTCCCCTCTCATGTCGCCCCTCTCTCTCCCTCCCCTCTCATGTCGCCCCTCTCTCTCCCTCCCCTCTCATGTCGCCCCTCTCTCTCCCTTCCGCATCAGGCCATGGCGCCCATCGACCGCTTTGTGGTGCAGGAGTATCTCCTCGACGTGCTCTTCTACATGAACGGCAGGTGGGTGCGCTGCAAAGCGTTCCTATAGTGAAAGCCACGTTGTGTGCCTACAACATACACGTGTTAGGGTATCTCCTCCACGTGCTCGCTCTTTAGCATGACTGGCCGGCTGGCCTTCGGAGGTGTGCTTATGATGAATGGCAGGTGCATGTGTCTTTTGGTCGACTGGTGGGTGGGTGTGTTCTCATATGTAGCAGGAGTTGGTTGTGTGTGTGTGTGTGTGTGTGTTGCTCCCTTCGTCTGGTGGGCTTGCCAGTGCGCATACCATGTGTGCATTTCCTCCTTCCCAATCCTGTCCGGGCCGTCCCCCCCACCGGTGTGTTTTGAGTCTACTGAAAACTCACCATTTCCTCCTTCCCAACCCCGTCCGGGCCGTTCCCCCCACCGTTCGCAAGGAGTGCGCCAGCTACCTGGTGAGCCTGCCACGGAACATACCTCCTTACCTCCTTCCTCCCTCCCTCACACCCCTACCTGCCCACCAGTCGCAAGGAGTGCGCCAGCTACCTCGTGGGTCTGCCGGTACCCTTCCGCTACGAATACGTCATGGCGGAAACTGTCTTCTCCCAGGTGAAAACCACAGAGACAGGTGTTTCCTCCCAGGTGAATATCACAGAGGCATGTACAGTATCATCATCCAGATAAAAACGCACGGACCAACTTTTCCAAGGTGAAGGCACAAATGATTTTTGAAGCGCCTAAAAAAAAGAAAGCACAATTTTTTTCTTCTTTCTAGTGAGAAGAAAAGATGCCCCTCCGTCCTCTCCTGCTACCTTTGCCATTCCTCCATCGCCTCCCCCCTTCCCATTCCCCACTCCCAGTCTCCACCTCTGTGATAGTGATTTCGTTTTGAGTCGACTCAAGACGAATTTACTGCCGCACAGACACCCGTTTGTCCTCTCCTGCTTCCTTTGCCATTTGCTCCTGCATCATCCCCCATGCCCATCACCTCCCCTCTTCCCATTCCCCACTTTAACCCTCTACCTCACTCCTCCTTTTTCCTCCCACCTCTCTCCATCTGCCCCTGCTCCCCCCTCCACTCCTCTTCCCCCGGCCCCCTGTCTAGTTGCTGCTGCTTCCCCGGCCGCCCTTCCGCCCCATCTACTACACAATCGTCCTCGTTGACCTCTGCAAGGTAAGGTGAACTCGCTCTGTTGTTGAGCCTGTTGACCCTGTTGACCCCGTTGACTATGTTGACTGGTGCAAGCTGTGTGTCGTTCCGCCTCATCTACTACACAATTGTCCCCATTGACCTCTGCAAGGTGTGTTGACTCTATTGACCCCTGCAAGGTGCGTTGACTCTGTTGACCTTTGCAAGGTGCGTTGACTCTGTTGATCCCTGCAAGGTGCGTTGACTCTGTTGACCTCTGCAAGATGCGTTGACCTCTGTTGACCTCTGCAAGGTGCGTTGACCTCTGTTCTGTTGACCTCTGCAAGGTGCGTTGACCTCTGTTGACCTCTGCAAGGTGCGTTGACCTCTGTTGACCCCTGCAAGGGGGAATATGAAGCTCCTTGATAGTGCTCTGTATGCTCTCTGGCAACCACCACAGAGGGCAAGCCACTCTCCTTCACCTTCCTCACCTCACCCCCCTCTCTCTACTTGATATCCTCCTTCCTCAACCGCCTCACCTCCCTCCTCTCCTCCGTCTCCCCTCGATCTCCCCAGCACCTTGATTTTGCAGGGTGTTTTCAAGAATTCTCAAAACCACCCTGCCTCCTTCTCCCCAGGATCTCCCCACTTTCCCAGCGGTGCTAGCAGGGGCGGTGAGGACTCAATTCCCCTTACCTCACCTCCCCGTCTTCCCCACCTGCCTCCCCCCACCCCCCTTCTCTGCCTATCCTTAACCCGCAGGCCCTGCCTGGCGCCTTCCCAGCAGTGCTAGCCGGGGCGGTGAGGGCGCTGTTCTCCCGGGCGGCAATTATGGACGTGGAGTGCAGGACACGTGTCATCCAGTGGTTGGCCCACCACCTGTGAGTCATCTTTCTTCAGCTGTCTGTTGCTTTGCTGGCGTCCTAATCCAACCTTGAGTGCGTGCCTGCCTGTCATGCTGTCACCTCGAGAAGCTGTTGAGTCAACGTGAAATATATCCTCTCTACCCTCTTCTACACTCTCTTTTCATCTTCTGTTTGCCACCCAGTTCCGACTTTGCCAGTGTGGGCCCTGGGCGGCGTGGGTGGTGGCACAGCTGACCGGCAGCCTGAGTGTGCGGCCCAAACTACTGCCTTCTTCTATTCCCCCGTCTCGCTTTCTGCGCTCACCCGCCCTCTGCCCCCCTCTCCTTGCAGTTCCAACTTCGCGTTTGTGTGGCCGTGGGCGGCGTGGGCGGCGGTTGCACGGCAGCCGGAGTGGGCGCCGCAGAGAGTGTTTGTGTCGGAGGTGCTTGAGAGGGAGATACGCCTCTCCTACTACGACAAGATCAGAGAGGTGTGTGTGTGTGTGCGTGTGTGTGTGTGCGCGCGCGCGCTCTATAAACTCATTCTTTCTGGTGTTTGTATCGGAGGTGCTTGAAAGGGAGATACGCCTCTCCTACTACGACAAGATCAGAGAGGTATGTGATTGTCTGTCATCCGCCCTCTCTTTCTCTCTCGCTAGTGCTTGTATCGGAGGTGCTTGAAAGGGACCACAGAGGTGGAGCAGCTTCTCCCCCTTTCAGTCCGAGCTCAACTTAAAGTTCAAGTGCAACCAAGAAAGTGCTTCTGCAGCTTACCTCTTCTTGTCTCTCGTCTCAAGAGCCCTCGTTCCCCCTTCCTTCTCTGTACTGCCAAGAGACTGCAGAGAAGGAAGCCCCTTATTGTTGTTGTAAAAAAGGGGCTTCTCTGCAGTCTCTAGGCAGTGCAGAGATGAAGCAGCTTCTCCCTTTTCCAGCCCGAGACCCACTGCAAGATCAAGTGCGACCGTGCAAGTGTTTCAGCCCCTAACCTCGTCTCTTCTCTCTTCTCAAAGGCTCTCTCTCCCCCTTCCTTCTCTGCAGTCTTTAGGCAGCACCGAGAGCAGATCCTCCTCCTCAAGCCCGAACCGATCGCCAAGTTCAAGCGCACCCCACCCCAGCACGCTGTCTCTGCAGTCTCTAGGCAGTGCAGAGATGGAGCAGGTTCTCCCCTCAAAGCCCGAGCCGATCGCCAAGTTCAAGCGCAGCCCAGCACGCTTCCTCCTTCCCTTTCTCTGCTGGAGGGAGAAAGGGACGATAAAAGGGACCCTTTCTCCGCACGGTCCCTCTCCTCCCTTCTCTCTTCTCCCCCCTTCCCTTTCTCTGCTGTCCCTCGGCAGCACTGAGATGGAGCAGCTTCTGCCCCCCAAGCCCGAGCTCATTTTCAAGTTCAAGCGCAACCGAGCACCTTCAGTCTGTCCCTTCTCTTCCCTCTGCCATTTCTTCATTCTTCCCTGCCCTCTTCTCCCCCCCGCACAGTCCCTCGGCAGCACTGAGATGGAGCAGCTGCTGCCCCCCAAGCCGGAGCCCATCTTCAAGTTCAAGCGCAACCGAGCATCTCTCTTCCCCCTCTTCCCCCTTCTGTTCCCCTAACAGTCCCTAGGAAGTGCGGAGATGGATCAACTCCCCCCCTTAAGCCTGAGACCAACTTGAGGCCTCTTTCCCCTCACTCTTTCCTCTCTTTGGTCTTCGCTCTCTGGCCGCTCTTCTGCCACCCGCCTCACCACCCCACAGTCTCTAGGCAGTGCAGAAATGGAGCAGCTTCTGCCCCCCAAGCCGGAGCCCATCTTCAAGTTCAAGCGCAACCGAGCCGCAGGGCCGGGGAGGCTGCTGGCGCCTGCAGAGGGGGAGGGGGAGGAGAGAGGGGGTGAAGGTGAAGGTAAGGGAGGAGGAGAGAAGGAGAAGGAAGGAGGGGAGAAGGCTGGAGATGGGGACGAGGGCATGAAGGAGGGGGGCGAGGGGGGGAGCAAGGCGGAGCTGGGGGGCAAGGAAGGGAAGACTGGCGAGGGCAAGGATGGGGGAAAGAGTGTGCAACAGTACGAGGAAGGGGTGGATGCAGCAGCAGTGGAGGTAGCGGAGGAGCTGATAGTGATGGTGCGCACGAAGCGGGCCGGTAAGGAGGTGGCGGCGTGGGTGGAGGAGAATGCGGTTGAGAAAGTGGGAGGGGAGAGAGGACGCGCGCTGGACGTGGTGGCGCAGACGCTGCTAGTGCTGGGGTCTAAGAGCATCACGCACTCGGTCACCGTGCTTGAGAGATACGGCCTCGCGCTGCAGCTGCTGGCGCCCGACCAGGTGAGTCTGGGTTCTGTTGCCAGCACCTGCCCAGGTGGTGTTTCTGTTTGTGGATCCTCACCAGGTGCATTCAGGGTAGGGCGCGGGTCGGGTAACCGGACCCGGATCCGCTTTTAGGGCGGGCCGGGTATCATGATTCCTGAATATTACCCGGCGGGTCGGGTCCGGGTAACCCGGGCGGGTATTTGATACCCGTTACCCGAAACGTTACCTGACACGTCGGGTAGCGGGTACCCGACCCGAAATCGGGTAGCGAGTCTACTCGACGGAACCAGCGCGATGTTGGTCGCGCTGGTAGAGAAATTTCAGCAAGTCTTTTAGGGCACGTGAGCTGCTAGGTCACGTAGAGCATTGTAGAGTGGCAGGGGTTGGATTTGGTAGATCCAGATGCATTTAGAGTGGTTGAATTGGGGGAAATTGGTTGGAATTCAAACCAATCGAATTTGCAACCCAACCTGAATCCAACCGACCACACAGCACCACGTTGGTTGAAGTTCCAACCAATTGACTCTGTGGGTCAAAATATCAAACCCCCTAAAACCGCACACAACCCCATCCCAACTAGAAAGCCCAACCACCCCCCCACTCAGGCCCCACTCACCACACCAGAACTGTTAAAGATTTGGCGCTCCTCATACTCCCTCCCGCAACTCACGTTTTTAAGCACTATCTAGGTCGTAGATTTAGTAGCCCAACAGGGTAGGAAAACGCAGGTAATACTACCCGGTTTTCAAGGAAACTGGGTCGGGTATACCCGGACCCGCCAGGCGGGTATTAATTTACCCGCCCCCAAATCCTGGGTCCGGGTATTGGTCCTGGGCATACCCAACCTGTACCCAACCCGAAAATACCCGACCCGAAGTCGGGTATAGCAAAACCGGGTTGGGTCGGGTAAATACCTGGTTTTGCTCATGCCTAATTCAGGGTTAGGCTCTCTTCCTCGTAAGAACACACCACAAGGTGGGCACGGGGAGAAGGTGGGCGGGGAGAGGTGGGCAGGTATGGGGGGGACAGAGGAGAAGAGGTTAGGGCTCGTGCGTTGGATGTGGTGGTGCAGACTCTACTAGTGCTGGGGTTGAAGAGCATCACGCACTCAGTCACCATGCTCGAGCGATACGGCCTCGCGCTGCAGCTGCTAGCACCTGACCAGGTGGGTGTTGGGTGTTGAAATCACCTGATCTGATCCGGTGGGCAAGGTCAGGGTTCTGTTGCACGCTCCTGATCAGGTGGGCATCTCCTCCTCAGCATCTGGTCGGTGTGGATCAACGCCTCTCAGACGGCAGCAGCAACGACTTAGTCAACGCTTAAGACACACTCTTTCTCTTTCATCCCCCCCCCCCCCCCCCCACACACACACACCACACTCACAGTCCCCCCCGGAGCATCTCCTCCCCAGCGTCTGGACCGTGTGGGCCAACGCCCCTCTCAGATGGCAACGGTTATCATTGATCGCTGCCTCCACTTCAAAGTCACATATCTCTCCCTCTCCTCCTGTCAACACCCTCCCCCTTACAGCTCTCTCAGGTGCATCTGCTCCACAGCATCTGGTCAGTGTGGGCCAACGCGCCTCAGATGGCAGCGGTGGTCATCGATCGCTGCCTCGGCTTCCGCCTCGTCTCGCCGCTCGCCCTCCTCGACTGGTGCTTCCTTCCTTCGCAATACGAGCTCTATCATACGTCCGAGCGCATTTGGGAGGTACGTGCTGGGAGGTGTATTGAAACAGGTGTGGGAGGTATGTGTTGTTTGGAACAGGAGTGGGAGGTTCATACAGATGCTGCCTTGGCTTTTGCCTTGTCCCCACCACACCTCTCTCCACACCTCTGAACGCATTTGGGAGGTGCCCACACCTCTGAGAGCACCTGATTTGGGAGGCAGCGCCTCAGAGGTACAACAAGTCAGGTGCTGCCGCGGCTTCCGCCTCGTCTCGCCCCTCGCTCTCCTCGACTGGCTCTTCCTGCCGTTGCAATACAAGCGCTATGAGGGTGCGTGCTTCTGAGCGCATCTGGGAGGTACTTGTGTGCAGACGATTGTGCGCGAGGATTGTGAATCAGGGTGGTGTTTTGCGCCCCTCTCCCCCGTCGCTCTGCTGTTTTGGTGCTGCCTACCGTTTTTATGTGAGCTCTGCTGCACCTCTGAGTGCGTCTGGGGGTGCGTGGTTCCCAATCCTCGTTCCCCCTTCCCCTCCCCCCTCCCCCCTTCCCCCTTCCCCGTTCCCCCTTTCCCCCTGCCCCTTCTCTCTCCCCCTCTCCCCCGTCTCCCTCTTTTCAAATCAGATTCTCCGTACTGCTGTGTCAAAGGCTACCAATCGTCTCCGCCACGTCGGCGCTGAGGTGGCGGCGCTCGAGAGGGCGTCGGCTGTGGCAGCAGCGGCTGCCAGCAAGGCGCACGGCGAGTGGGAGGCTGCCACGTTGGCAGAGGAGGAGGCGGAGGGAGAGGAGGCCAAGACACAAGCGGCGGCGAAAGCAGAATGGGCCAAGGTGGGGTTTTCGTGTGGTAGGGTTAGTATGGGGTGGGGATAGAGTAGGATGGGGATAAGGGGGGGATGAGATTTAGTTAAAGCAGAACAGGACAGGGCACACACACATACGGAATGTAAGCCAGGAGATAAGGTCGTAGGGCGGGGAGATTGAGTTAGAGGTTGTTGGCTCACCTGTCGTTTCTGGTGTGGGCTCAGGTGTCGTCTCACCTGTCAGCTCTGTTGTGGGCTCAGGTGTGCCCGCCCCGCCCTCCCACTTTCCTTCCCGCAATTCACGCCTTCTCTTCTTCCTATTTTGGCTTTGCTCCAACCCGCCCCTTCTCTCCGCCTCCCCCTCCCCCAACTTCCGCTCCTGCTTCCAGCAACGGAGCAGCAAGGCGCAGGAGGAGGCAGTGGCGGCAGCAGCAGCAGTGGAGGGCAAAGAGAGGATGAGGCGAGAGGCGGAGGAGGAGGAGCAGGTGAGACGAGAGGGGATGGGGGGATTGTTGGGGGCAGGGAGATGGAGTTTGGTTGGGATGGGTTGGATGGGAGACAGGAGCAGCAGCAGTGGACGGCAAGGAGAGGATGAGGAGGGAGGAGGAGCAGGTGAGATGGAAACTGGGTGTTATTGGATCTGGAAAACGGGTTACGGTTTGCAGAAGGGGGGTTGTAATGAGGGAGGAGGGAGATTTATTTGGAGGAGGAGTGAGCGTTTGTTTCGAGCATAATGTTGTCCTGCTCGTTGACAAACGCCCACTGCTGCAGCACGAGCATGAATGCACCTTATGTATGTGAATGGAAGAGGCAGCAGCTGGTCAAAGGTGCATGCATGCTCGTTGAGTCGTTGCCCTGCTGCTGCTGCACGTCGCAGCGGCTTTTGAGGCGCCTGAAGAATGCATGCTCGTTGCCTTGCCTTGCCCTGCTGCTGCACTTGGCAGCAGCTATCAGCAGCAGGCGGGTTGCGGGGAGCAGTGTCAGAGGCAGCTTTTTGCTGCACGTTTCCACCCTTGTTGAGGCGCCTTCCGACCCCCCCCTTGTTTTCCTTTCTCCAGGCCTTGTTCATCTCGCTGCTGCTGCAGTTTTCAGTGGTCATCAGCAGCAGGCAAGCGGCTGTGGCAGATGCAGCTTTAAGTTGCACGTTTCCAACTTCCTGCTCTCCCCCTTACCCCCCCCTTGTTTTTCTTTCTCCAGGCCCTGTTCATCTCGCTCCTGCTGCACTTTGCAACGGCTATTAGCAGCAGGCGGGCAGCTGTTGCAGAGGCAGCAGTGAGGGAGGAAGAGGAGGAGGAGAGGAGGGCGGGGGAGGAGAGGATGGAGGAGGATGAGGGGGAGGATGCTGGCATGGAGGGCGAGGAGGACGGGGATGGGGGCAGTGACAGGTGAGGGGAGGGGAAAGGGTGGCGGGCTTGGGAAAAACGACGGGGCTTAGATGAGCAAAGGAGAGACTGAGGCAGGTTGGGATGGGCGGAGGGAGAGAGTGGAGGGCAGGGGACGAAGGGGAGGATGCTGGCATGGAGGGCGAGGAGGGGGGAGATGGGGGCAGCGACAGGGGAGGGGAGGGAAGGCGGTGGAAATGGGACGAGGCTGGGGATGAGGGTGGCAGCGACTGGGGTTAGTGCTTGGTTTGGGCTCTGTGTTTCCTGCACCTCCGTTCAACTCCTTTCATCTATTTCTGTTTATATGTTGTAAATCTCAGCAGCCGCTCCCCTTGTCCCTCCCCATTGCAGTGTGAAAGTCTACACCTGAGGACCAAACTCTACACCTCTCCCCGTTCCCCTGTCTCTCTCCTTTTCTCATTCAACCGATTCGTCTTTCCTCTCCTGATTTAGTGATCCGTCTTTCTTTCCCTCTTATGGTGCTCCAGCCACCTGCCTGCTGGCAGCTGCCACTCTTTCATAAGCATTGCAGTTCGCGACAAGTCAATGTGCACCCCCTCCCACCCCTCCCACCCCTCCCCCCCCTCCCAGACGGGTGTGCGAGTCGACTCGGAAGCAGTCTCAAATGCCCTCCCTCTCTCCCCCCCCCCCCCCCCCCCCTTCCCCCTTCCCATCCCCACTCTCCCTCTGGGTGCAGACTTGTTTTTCAGACGGTTTTTTTAATCGACTCAAAGCCCTCCCTCCCCCCCTCCCCCCCCTTTGACCCCCATCTCCCTCTGGATGCTGGTTTCTTTCTTCAGGCAGTGTTTGAGAAGACTCAAAAGCAGTCTCAAGTACCCTCCCCCCCCTTTCCATCCCCACTCTCCCTCTGGGTGCTGGCTTGTTTCTGCAGGCGGGTGGCTGGCAGGAGGAAGCGCGAGGAGGAGAGGAGGAAGGAGGAGGAGGAGCGGGGTCACAAGAGGCGACTCAAGGCGGCGGGGGAGAAGGAGTGGATGCGATGTGTTGTGGGGCAGATGCGGTCGCTGTGTCGATACTACGGCCCGCAGGTGAGGGACACATATAATGGCTGTGCCAATACTACGGCCCACAGGTGAGTGCATGGCAGAGATAATTGCCATGACGTCACTACTGCCAATACCACTCCCTTCACCTCTCGTCCCCCACCTCCCCTCTGCTCTGGGTGTGCCGCATGCGACCTGCTATCCAATCGCATGCGACCTGCTATCCAATCGCATGCAACCTGCTATCCAATCGCATGCAACCTGCTATCCAATCGCATGCAACCTGCTATCCAATCGCATGCAACCTGCTATCCAATCGCATGCAACCTGCTATCCAATCGCATGCAACCTGCTATCCAATCGCATGCAACGTGCTATCCAATCGCATGTTGCCCTGAACTTCTTCCTCCCCGTTTCCTCGCTTCGCCTCCAGTTGACCTCCCTTCACCCCTCCCTTCACCGCCCCCTCTGCTCCAGGCATGCCGCATGTCGCCTGCCATCCAATCGCGTGTTTACCTATATTTCTTCCTCTCCTCGTCCTCGCTTCGCCTCCAGTTAACCTCTCCTCGCAATCAATCCGCCGTTCCTCTGCTTCAGGTGTGGCGCATGCTGCCTGCCATCCAATCACAGGTCTTCGCTCAAGTCCAGGATCCCATCATTCAGGAAACAGTCATGGCCGCTCTGCTCTGCTAGCGACTTTCGCATGCTGCCTTCCAGGGGGGGCCTGGTTGGTTTGAAAGAGAGTTCCATCATTCATGAGACAGTCATGTGACTCATGTCTGCTCTGCTCTGCCAGCGCGTGCTCCTCGCTACATGCTGCTGCCTGTGCGGGGCGTCTCAAAAGTGCCTTCTCTCAAGCCCAGGAGTCCGACCATTCAGGAAACAGTCATGTGACATGTCTGCTCTGCTCTGCGAGTACCTGCTCCTCCTCCCTTAATGCATCTAGCCATTTGGTGACTCAAAGTGTCTTTCCAAGTCCAGGATCCCATCATCCATGAGGCGTTCATGTCGGTCCGCTCTTCTCTGATAGGGCTTCTGGAGGTGGGAACCTTGATTTGTCCCTCTACAGGCGTTTGTCACACAGGATAGATTGTGGAGGCTGCTCTGCTAGCAAGCCCGTCGCTTCACTTCTCTTCATGCCTCTGCCAGTCTGCCTTGGTGCGCCTTGACAGTAATGGCTGTGCTGTGCACTCCAAACCTGATGGTCCTAGGGGAACTAAGCCGTGAGACTTAATTAACGCTTGTTAGATGTTTCGTTCTTTTTCTTCCGTATCCATACCTGTGTAAGCCTTTGCAAGAAACAACTTTGCCTGATAAAATTAATATAATTAAAATAATGTGGGCTTGCAGCCCAGAAATAGTCCTAGTTGGGACATACTCAACCCACAGTAAAATACACGTATAATAGTAAGGTTTCGAGTCGGCTCCTTACGGGAACTGCTGGACGGGCATCACCTGCCTGGCGTGGCCATACGCGGTGTAGGCGCAGTCCACAGCAAGCACATCACTCGCCTCGTACGACCGGGGAGTGCCATCCAGGAACCCCTGGCCCTCAGCGGCATCGGCGGAGATCGGACGGTGCAGGCTCGCGATCAGCTTCTGGAAATCCGCGGCGTGGGCAGCGTGATCCTCGCGGTAGGTCTGTCCTAGCACGCCGTGGATCTCCTCTGTGTGCTCCAGCTCGGCAATCCCGACGTTGATGTGCGCCTCGGCGTCGGTCGGCGTCTGCAGCTTGGGGTGCGCGACGCGCATGCGGAGGTCGAGCGAAATCAGGCCGTCGATCGAGAGCAGGTAATAGTCCACATCGAACGGTCCCTCCTTCTCCAGCGCGCGGAATTCGATCGTCAGCCCGCCGTTGCTGGTAACCTTATCGCCAACCTGCATGCGAGGGATCTCATCGCCGTCAATCTCGATGCTCTTCACGAAACCCTCGCCGCGCTCCTGCTGCTTCCCGCCGCGCGCCGCAATCCGAACCTTGTGGTCCGCGCCGCCGGCCGTCCAGACAATCCCGAGCTCCTTAATCCACGTGTGCACGGCCTTACCATCCACAACCACCGCCGCGTTTTCCGTCCTCTCATCATAATACCCCCTCAGCAGCATGTTCACGTGGAGGTCCTTATCGGTCAGCAGGCAGAAGGCCTTGTCGGGGCGGCCGTTGAAGTCGAAGTGCGTGCCGTGCGCGCCAACCAGATGCGGGTCGTTGAGGATCTTTGCGCTAGGGTTGCACTCTCCGCCGATGCGCACCTGCAGCGGCACGGGCTTCGTCTCCGTGCTGTACTGCGCCGTCATCTCTCCGCAGGTGAAATCGATCTGGTCGTGAATGAGGTAGCACGCGCCCTTGCCCTTCTTGCCGTCGATCGTTATATCGGGGATGTACTGCCAGTAGGTGCAGAGCGGCGTCGCGGCGCACGTGTTGCAGCACGACGCGGGGTTCGCCTTGAGCAGCGTCAGCGGGTTACCAGGCACGTACAGCTCGTAACCGAGCTTGTTTTTCTGCAAATACGCCGTCTTCCACTTAGCGGCGATCCCACCCTTGGAGCAATTCTTCGGTGTGCACGCGCCCGCGAGCTCCTTGTTCAAACCGGGCGGGCATTTCTGCGCGTTCCACCCGGCCTTCTTCACATCAGCCATGAAAAAAGTGTCCTGCGCAGTGTCGACGTATGTAACACCGGCGGCATCGCCCGAAGCAGCCGCCTTCGCGATGGCCGCAGGGATCACGGTCATGAGCCCATCGTCCTTCTTGCTGCTCTGGTCGGGCTTCTCGTTCGCGGTGGAGCTCGTGATGGGGCTGCCGGCGCGGGCCGCCACGAGGAGCAGCGCGAGGGACAGCGCTAGAAGCGCGTATCTGGCCATTCTGTCGAGATACTCCAGTATACTCTAGCAAGAAGTTCTGAGCCGATCTAAATGCAGTAAAGCCTGTGCCGAATGACTCGTACAAAGAGAGGCGAATTTAAGGTAAACTAAGAATGAGCACTCGCTTCACTGATGGCGAGCGATTCACGGTATTTAGAGAGGCAGGGATGTGACTGCCTGAATTCGTTAGAGCAGCCAATCTACTCGCGTCGAGTCGCGGAATGGAAGTTGGGCCTGTTGCCCGCGAGCTCACCTCATCACCGCACCGCATCACAGTTCAGGTGACAGTTTCCCAGATTTTGCACGCCTCTCGAGTCGCAGGTGCCTGACGCTGATAACCAGAGATGTGTCTGTGATCTGCACTCGCAGGTTTAGTGACGTAGCGCAGATATTCGATGATCCGATTGAGGCAGCCAGATATGTTGTATTGTTCTGTGTCCACTTTTGTTTGTGTTTCGGGGCATCTGCATATGTTGCGACAAGGTGAACAATTAGGGTGATGTCACTACCGTCCATCAATCAATGACAATTGTGACATATGCCATAACATGTAGGGAATGACATGTACAATGTCTGTATCACTATGCACTGAGTAAGAATGGACAAGAGGAAAGTCTATAGCATGTGTCTTCAGGGGACAACTGCGCTCCAGGCCCACCAAGCACCACACGTGTCCTGTCCAACACACGTGCACATGCAATTCAGGGGAAACACAGGGTCCGCTATGCGGCATGTGTTTGCTTTGCACTAGTTGGGAACAAGAACACAGTCAAAAACATATGCCTTCACCCACTGCCCATTAAACAGCTTCTTCGTATCCACCTGCGCCCAAAATAGCTGCTGCGCTCCAGGGGCACTCAGCGCCACACTCGTCCCGGGATTCCAAAACCTGCTGGGCCGCACACTGTGCTTCACAATGCTCTTGCTTGCCAGAGTGGGGATCTTGCTGCGGTTTGGCAGGGCTTTAAGCTGCGCGAAGCTGTAGAGCCCTGACACGGTGTGGTACTTCACTATTTCTGTCCGGCTTGAAGCGGTGACCCGCGGACGGAAGGTCATTTTCGCGAAGGACCAGTCGGAAGGTGCGAGGAAGGTGAGCTCTTGGTAGCCTGCGGAGAATCCAACATCGGGGACTTGCTCTGGGCGAAAGAGAGAATGGGGGCACAGGGTGGGGAGAGCAGGAGAGAGCAGGGGAGGACAGGGAAGGGAGTGATGGACGGTCAGATGGGGTTTAATATGCGTGAAGCTGTCGAGCCCCGACACAGTATGGTTCTTTACGATTTCCAACCGGCTTGCGGCGGCGACCCGCAGGCTTAGGATGCTTTCACAAAGAACCAGTCGGAAGGTGCGAGGAAAGTGAGCTCTTTGAAGCCTGTGAAAAATGCAGCATCGGGGATTTGCTCTGGGATGGTAGAGAGGGAGGGAGTGGTGCGAGGTAGGCCGGGAAAGGGGGTTCAGGTCAGCTGGTATTGGGGAGGGCAGCATCGGGGACTTTCACTGGGGGAAAGAGACGGGATGGGAGCTGGAGACTGGTGAGAGGGGGAGCAGGGGAGGGCGGGGAAGGGAGTGATACAAGGTCAGAAGGGCTTTAAGTTGTACAAGAAGGTGGTCAACAGGAACTTCCTCTGGAATAGAGGAGGAGTTGGTGAGGTAGAGGGGATGGATGATCGTGGTGGAGATGAAGAAGGGGGTGGTATAAGGTATCAGAAAGAAAAATGATTGAACTAGAATGTGTGCGTACAAGGTTATATAGACTAGGGTGTTGTACTCTCTAAGGCACAATCCAGTATAGTCTACAGTAACAACCTAAGTTATATTTGACACACCCCCTAGACTATATAGGGGCAGTGCCTAACAAGGGAAGAAGCAGCTCAGGGCGGCACTACTAGTCCAGCCTCTGAGACAAGGGTCTAAAGACTAGTCAAAAGGAGTACAAACAAGGCAAGAGCAAGCCCAAGGCGGCACTACTAGTCCAACCACTGGGAGAGGCCACAAGGCCAGTCAGGGTAAAATATAGATATAAAAGACAGTACAAAGTCAACGCCCTAGCAAGTGGGAGGCTACAGGAATGAGACCCAGCTGTACACAGTGCCGCTGATGATCTTTAGGCGCAAGCGCCTTCGTAAAGATATCAGCTGTGTTGGCACCGGAGGCCAAGTGTACTACGCGCGCCTGGCGACGCTGCTGCAGCTCACGAAGGAGGAAGTACCGCAGCTGAATGTGCTTCGCTTTGCCCTCGAGTCGAGGCTCCTAACACAGGAGGATCATGGCCCTGTTGTCAGCGTATAGGACCGGGGCAGAGCTAGGCCGCTCACCTAAGTCAGTGAGCAAGAAGGTCAGCCAGCGGAGCTCCTGTACCGCCATCGCACCGGCGTAGATCTCGGCCTCACAGCTGGACTGGGCAACAGACGAGGAGCGGGTAGCTCTCCACGAGACGACACCTGAACCAAGGCTAAAGCAGTAGCTTCGTGAGGACCTGAGGGTCTTGGCATCGCCTGCCCAAGAAGCGTCTGTGTGTCCAGTAAGGACCACTGGCCTACGTCCTCCTAGTACTAACCGCATACCCGATGTACTTGCAAGATAATGCAAAACCCTCTTAGCGGCAGACCAGTGCTGAGGTCAGTGTCTGCCTGTAGCCACAAAGCGAGCCAGGATGCTGAGAGGGTATGCGAGATCTGGGCGCGTGCAAGTCATCAGGTACATGAGGCAACCCACCAGCTCTGCGTAAGGACCACTGGGCTCTGCTGACTCCTCAGGAACTGGAGCGGAGAGCTTGTGGTCTAGAGGCAGAGGAGTAGGCTGTGCAGAGGAGAACTGAAGACCGAACCTCTAAAGGACCTGGCGCACCAAGTGTGACTGAGTCAAAGTGATGGTGCGGGCTGCTCTGTCCCTGGAGATCTGCAAGCCAAGGTAGTGGCGCAGTTCTCCAAGGTCAGTGGAGGTGTGTCTCTTCAGCAGCTCTGCCTTCACGAAGGTCAATGCGTCCTGTATGACGTGGCGAAGACCAGGTCGTCTACGTAAACAAGGATGTAGAATGGAGTCTGGCAACGAAGAGCGAGGGGTCTGCAGAGGACGGAAAGAACTGCAGGTTAGCAAGCGTAGCACGCAGCGTGTCGTGCCACTCACGGGGAGCCTGCCGCAGGCCGTAGACGGGGCGCCGGAGGAGTCCCTGGGTCCCAGGAGGGAAGGTACTAGTGAAGCCCTAAGGGCGACGCATGTAGACCTGCTCGTGTAGACTGCCCTGAAGAAACGAAGTGGAGAAGTCGAGGGAGTGAAGCTCGTAGTCACGCTGCGCTGCTACGTGTAGTAGCACCCGAAGAATAGTCATCTTCGGGGTCGGAGCGAAGGTCTGGAAGAAGTCCACCCCCTCACGCTGACTGAAACCTCTAGCCACATAGCGTGCCTAGAACACAGGCGGCTCTCCAGGAGGGCGCTTCACTTTGAAGAGCCAGCGGCCATCAACTACGTTCACCCCATGTGGGGAACTACGTCTACGTAGGTGCCGGTGGATCTCCAAGAGGCCATCTCCTGCTCCATGGCAGCTATCCACTGAGAGGCCCAGGGCCCCGAGACCGCCTCAGCGTAAGTGCGAGGGGTCGGGATGTCGAAAGCATCGGGGTCACCCTCAGGGACTAGAAGCATGGAACAGAGATGGGGAGCAGCCTCGGACAGGAAAGCAAGCTCGTGGGAACGAAGCAACATAGGGTGAGAGCGCGAGACAGGGGAGACAGGTCGAGCACGGGAGGGACGGCGAGACCCGACATGAGACGGGGGAGTCGGGTCAGGAGACAGAGGAGGGGACACAGGAGGGGAACGAGGGGGGAAACGGGCCGGAGACGCGTCCCGAGGAGGGAACACAGGGCCGGAGACAGGAGGAGGAGGTGGCACAGGCACGGGGTCAGGGGACGAAAGGCCGAGCAGGCGAAGAGCAAACACCAGCGGGGACTGCTGTGACGGCGGTGTGACGCCGACACCGGGACCGCAAGCTGCCGGGTGGCTACCTCCAGAACACTCCACACCAGCACCCCCAGAAGAAACACCCCCAGAGCTCAGAACCCCTCGAGCACCTGTACCACCCCCAGGCCCGCTGGGACAAGCCACGACAGGAGTCCCGGGACTAGTACCCACCCCAACTCCAGCACCCCCAGAGGCAACAAACTGCTGCGGCGACGATTGCAGCGGCGGCGGTCGCAACCGGTACAACCGACGTAAGTGGGGTAACGTGGGACACACCAGAGGGGGCAGGACGAGGAGGGGGAGGAGGAGGGGCGGCGACGACCGGGGAAGGGGTGACCAGGAACAGGGGGGGGTAACTGGGGGACCTCGGTGGGGGAAGCGGCCTAAGAAGGAGACAAACTCGTCAAAGGTGACGTCACGAGAGTGAAAGAACCTGTGAGATGGCGAGCGGTAGAAGTGCCAGTCAGATGCGTCAAGGGGGAAGCCGAGGAAGACACAGGGAAGGGTGCGGGCAGTGAGCTTGTCCGTGCCAGCGGCATGAACGTGAGCAAGACAGCCCCAGACGTGGAACGCAGACGCGTCACCAGGTGACCCAGACCAAAGGAGGGTCGACGAAACCTGAGGCTGCAGGGGGTGCGGCCACAGGTTAAGCTGGTGAGCAGTGTAGCGAACAGCGAACGGCCACAGAAAATGGGGTGCACCAGCATGGATCATGGAGGTGCGAGCCACCTCCATGACCAAACCGATGCGTCGCTCAGCGACCCCATTCTGCTGCGGGGAGTCCAGCAAGGTGAACGTCTGGGTGATGCCCTCCGCACGACAGAAACGACCAAGGACACCAGAGGCAAACTCGCCACCACGGTCAGAGTGGAGGCGCAAGATAGGGAGACCGCGACGGACACGCGCAGCGACAAGCCACGGGATAAGAACGTCAGGCACGTTGGCCTTCCGCTCCAGGGGGAACACAGTAGTGTAGCGCGTGTAGTCATCGACAAGCACTAGGAAGTAGCGCTCTCGACGCGGCCCATGGACGGGGGCGGGGCCCCAGACGTCCATGTGCAGAGTCTGTAGCGGTGCGGCGGTAGGGGGTAACGAGGAGGAGTGAGGAGCATGGCGAAGCCGGCCCTCGACACAAGGTGTGCAAGGTGGGGCAGGGGAGGAGGGAAACTCCGAGAACGACCCAGGGAGGCCTAGGACGAGACCGTGCTGTGACATGTGACGCAGACGCGGGAGCGCAGGGTGACCTAGACGGTGGTGCCACAGAAGAGTCGGGTGGGTGAGCGACCAACAGGAGCAGGCAGCAGCAACCTGGGTAGATGCAGCCACCTGAGGGGAGGTCCCAGGCGGGGGGGTCACAGTGTCCAGTATGAACAATCCGGACACCGGGTCCCGGGGGAACGTGGTAAGGGGGGAACCGGTGGCGGCCTCGGTACAGACAGCGTACTGCTCATGACCAGGGAACGTAGTGGTTACGCTAAGGTCCTGGAGGCAGCCGACACCAACTAGGTTCCTGGTGAATGAGGGGATGTGTGTCACATGATGGAATGTCTCGAGGAAAGGTTGCACTATCGATCAGTACAAGGCGCTTTTATACTTCCAGAGTATATCAGGTAACCAGGTTTATCTTATCCTAAGGGAATAGACCCTTCTAGAAAATAGAATCACCCTGCGTATAGCCACGCGAGGCTATTGGCTTTAAGGGATTGCGGCAGGATTACGCTAGATAGAGCGTACCAATACATCCCGAGCCTGGTCGGTGATATAATCATAATAACATGATGAATCAAAGGTTTATGGAAAAGGAGAAATAGGAATCCAAATGGAATGAGATAGAATCCAAATGGATCAAGATGGAAAGAGGAATGAAATGGAAAGGGAATATGGAAAGGAGAAAGGAATGGAACGTGGTCGTACTCTCACACTTCCCCCCCTTAATGCTGGGTGGTAGACGTGACACCCTGCTTGACAAGGTAGTTGCGAAGAGGACGACGAGCGTGATCCATCTCGGATTCAGAGACCCAACTATCCTCTAAAGGATCATAACCCTTCCAACGGATGAGAAGCTCCACGGTGCCATTCCGTCGACGGTGGTGAGCAAGCAAGGACTCGACCTTGTACTCGGGTTCATCATGGAGGAGGACGGGTGGCGGCGGCGGTGGTTGGCGTCCAGAGAAGACCGTGT